TAACCAATTTACTCATTTTCTATTCTCTATAATCATCAATGAGTTGTGTTAGTATAAGTAATTCTAGACGCAATTATATTAGCAGCCACATCTTACACATCGACATAATTCATATTATACTACCATTTTTCGTATCTAAATGACTTTACTAATCCAAAAACTGCCTTTTCTCATATACCTTTCTAAAGCGTATAATTTTTTAATATAACATAAGTTGAAGAGTCACCTTACCTTGCAGTGCCTGACGCATACCATATGAAAATAGGTCATGAAATTTTAGTATAACCAGTTCTGCTAGCCAGCTGTTTTCTTCAGGATCATTCTACATAATTTTATTACTAATTGTTCTGCTACCAATTTAATTGTACTAAATAGTTGCTGTAGTGTTAGCTACTTCCATACTTTATAAATTTTCAAGGGAAATTTAATTTTCTAGATGTTAGTAACAAATACTCATATATATGTATGCATGTATAAAGGTGATACTGCTAGTCGTTTCCTCAGGTATCGGTGTACTCGGTCGCCTAATGGGAAGCACTTGATATGGCTGTTATTAATGTGCAGCATACTGTACGATCTAGGTGGGATCAAGGCAATGCAATGCCTCAACTACAGTTATTGCAAAAATGCTCGTAGCTTATCATCAAAAAGTAGGGAGGGTTGCGAATGTTGATCAGCAGATATGGTATTGGTCACAAATGTGAATCGCGCCGATATATAGGACAGCAAAATGCATTCTTTGACAGCTCGAGAATTAAACATTAGTCTGGATCCCTAACAAAATATAAAGGTTGTGGAGATCTAAATTATTAAAAAATGCTTTTGATCAACAAGCCTACTCAGCTTCCGATTAAGATGCTGACCCACGGGCCCTACAGAAATTCGTGAGACATCGTACAGGCCAGCCTGTCCTACGAGTTCTAATCTTGCAGATCGTTGAATTCAATTCTCATTGAAATATCATTCACCAACCTCACAACAACCTTTTTATTTACGCACCATTGTGCTCTATCTGATCTTAACTACGGGGGCCTTTATTCAAGCTAAGGCCTACTCTTTTATTCATATTTGTTGCTTCCTTACATTCTTGTTGCTTTGATTAAAAATACAACAACACCAATGTTTGAGCATAGACATATTTCCACCAAAACGTCACAGTTTCCATGCTTCGACCGGTATGGTTGGCATTGAACATTGCAAATGTATCCTGTCAAATGCCCAGGGCTTACGACACTGAACCCCACGCTGTTCTTAGAAGACTTTCAGGAACTAGGCGCAAAAACCAACGCGAAAAACCAGAACACAAATTGGTGACTAAAGAGCCCTTTATTCTTGTACTAATAAAGAGCCAACCATAAGTTTATCGTAAACGAAGTTTCTGATAGTTTTCCCCCGTCTTTCAAAGAACAGCGAACAATGGAACGATGAATGCACTATCGATGACTCCCGCCAAAATACAGAGTTGGGTTTGAGCAAACAACAACAACTACATATACACTTTCCGTCAAAAATGTATCGATCCTTTTTTTCCATCACGACCAATTCACTCGGATCGACTCGGATGCCATTGCGAGAACCTGGGCCACACGGACAAAACTGAAATGGAAAACAAACAGAAAAGCCGACACACCACAGGCATACCCACATCACAATCTTACTCATCGATGGTGACCTACGCCTTCGAATTAAAGGTGTCCTCTTGACATCTTGCAACACAGTCTCCACTCGCTAGAATGACTCTTGTAGAAAGCAACGTGACCATAGCACCACCTCATGTTACTCTTTGCACATCCTCTTATCTATTCACTACAAATTACCACTGCAATCGCTTGTCACTCATTCTGCCTCAGTTCTAGTAACGGTGACGTATGCGAGCGCCAGTTGTCTACACTCCCGCTCCCCGGCGTGTGGGACCACAGCTAATCATTATCTCCGCGCTAGCCTAGCCTCCCCGGCGTATACGACTCATCTGCTGTCTTTGATATCAATCAATCCATTCACGGATGAGGAAGGCTCGAAATAACTTCAGAAGTAAGTACGACGAAAAATTTAACAAAATTATGCGATAACAACAAAGTACGAAAACAACAAGTAAACACAATGAATCCAAACGCACCAATTGATATGACACACCACACGTATATACAAACAGTACACACAAATTCGCAGTACATGTCTCCATGTAATTCCTTTGAAGAATAACAGGACTTACACCAGTACACCTGCAACCCTTCTCAGGTTGACGATTGCAAGTTGTGGAATGTCCGGACAGAAACAAGATTGACCAACTAATCGATGAGATGATGCTGATTCAGTATATACAACATGAACATATTTACAAAATAACACACAAAGTACGATGGACTGCGCTTCGACGTACTATCCTCGTAGAATTGTAGGACATACAGCAGTACGCCTACGACCTTTCTCAGGTTGACGCCCTAGTTCGGAAAATCGTCGCTGAGTTCATTTGCTGACCTCCTTCTATCATCTATATCCTGAACTCTGAACGGTAACACACCCATGCCATTGTATCGTGGAATGTAGATGACGAAGAAAACATACGACGTATCTGACCAACCAAGCCTAGGAACAGAGTAATTTATGCCAAAGATAATAACATTCAAATAGTAACTTGGAACCTGAAAGGCCTTTATTCGTGTAAGTCAGTTTAACAATTACACTCTCATTCACAGTTGACTTATCCTCACTAAACTGACCATTGACTTTCGTCCCTTCAAACGGACCGATACTAACATAGTCACAGAACAAGACACGTGAGTTCAAGGTCGTCCCTTTCATTGTGGATGACAACACCAACGACGACTGAGTGACACAATTTGATGAACTTAGGGGTGCATCGGAAGATATTGTTGTTGTTCGACCTTTAGAAAGTTGTCTAGCCGTAGGATTATCGCCACTGCAATCCCTTGTGACTAGCGCCAGTTCAGCCTTAACATCTGTTGATAGGTAGGCTACACTGTGATCATTTACACTGAAGGTCTCATGCGTATCCATACCTTCTACCACCGCATCTGATCTTAATTCTAATGCACGTTCAAGTTTTACAGAACCTTTGTTCAATTCAGCAGTAGTAGACATTCCCCTCATCTCATCATGATCAACCAAAGATAAGTGTGCACTATCATGATCATTGTCACAACAATCCACTTTACCGCCGGTAGTGTGATCGACTTCATCATTTTCAAACTCTTTGATAACAGCATAAGACAATTTGGGCTCTTCCTCCAAATCCCTAAAGGTTTTATACCTTTATTCTGACTAGTAACACCTTGTAAACTTGTGGATTCAGAACTGGGCTTTGAAACTGTAATTCTCTTCTCCTGAACAAACTGTGGTGTCGTCTGTGACACTTTATTCAACAATGGCTTATCGGTGGCAGCTACAGGCTTCTTCACCGCACCACTATCGTCACACAATTCGGAGTCAGAACTTGATTTCACATTTAGCTTATCACTAAACTTGCCCACTGATTCACAGTTCATCTTTGTATGCACTTCTTGCAAACGTGTAAAACACAACCATATCTGTCTCGCAACTTGCAACCTATCTGTTTGGGATGTACCACGAAAGCTGTTACACTCGCTTAGTTTATCTAGATCACTGGACACCATAAAGCTTTCTCGATATCCACTTCTCTGAGGCCCTTTTGTCATAAATGACTGCGTTTCGCTGTCTGTCTTGTCTATTCTGGGGGCAGGATCTAATATACTGGCAAACGTGCTCATAGCTTGGCTGACACTTTCTTTTATCAGTTTCAGAATATCATCGAACTTTGGCTCCATACCTTCATCCTCTATACGACAGCTTATCTTCACCCATTTCCTTTGCAGTCAAGTAGGTAGGCGTCTCGCTATTACCTCTGGGACGGAACTTGAGTTCAGATCACTCATGCAATTCACTGAAATCAACATATTCTTGTAAGTCAACGGATTATCCAAAAACTAAGTGAGCGCCTTGGAGTCATCTTGTGATATACCACCACTACCCTTAACGGCCTCGAATAATTTCCCTACAATCATCGAAGGTCTTCCAAACATTTGACGCAGTATACTCGTAGCATCAGAGTATCCTTCGTTTGGGGGAATAACCCAACAGCACTGCATAGCTCTTGCAGCAACAGCAGTGCAGTACCTCAAGAAATACATTAACTCCATTTCGTCACTTAAAACAAAATCACTCAACATGACCTCAAACTACTTGATAAACTATGGGTAGTCGGCTGGGTTTCCATCAAAGTACCGAGGTTCAAACCTGGGGAGTCTTAAAACATTTATTCTCTGTATTTCATGTATAATTAAAATGTTCAATCTGCTAACACAAGGATTATCTTTCATTTTATCTAACCTTTATTTTCTCGGTAAAGCATTTTGAGTTGAGAAGAGGAAAAGCGGTCAAATCTTAAGAAGTGTCTCTTTTGGACAGCAAACACCAAGGCGGAGTTTGAGATAAACTTGTCATGTTTGTGATGGTGTCATCCATTACTTGTTCATTTTAAAATGCTCCTTAGATTCTGTGTATCCTCTTGAGAGTGACAGCCGAGTTGTCCTTTCGAACCAAGTTTCAAGGACAATTTCTGCAGCTTTCTTTATATTTTAGGCAATATTCGTGTGATAAGGTGGTCCTAATTAAGTTGTGGGGCTCTTTTCCGAATTTTAAATATGCTGAGGTCAATTAAGGGACAATGTATATGTACTGATTAAACACTGAACCTTCATCTTGAATCTCTACGCCATATTTCGCGTTTCGTTTCATAATGATAAACTTAGTTACCACGTTTCTTGTCTTGGTGATCTCTCGTATGTCCGTCAGTGAGTAATATCAGTTGGTTGGTTACGATGTGATCTGTCTTGTTTTAAGAATGAAGCTGCTCTACGACTTCCCATGGTCTCTACATTAACTTTCAAACTTTCTGCACTGATTCATTTGATCTTGAAATTCGGAACCTGGCATTGGGCTTTGATTCATTAAGGTTTGTCAGTGTGTTAGCGCGGATTGTATGAAAGGTTTGTCAAGTTGCTTTTCAGGGCGGTAACTTGATCTGAGTAGTTTATTAACCTCATACTGGACGAAGTTTGTAGTTTTGGATTATTTTTTGTGTGTGATGTCTAGAAAGCCGTTTATTACTCAACTGGGTTGGTAGTTTTTGTGTCAGTAGAGGCTTAAATTATTCTTCGGAGAATAATTTAAGCCGCATTGCTTAAATTCATTGTAATATCACGTTATTTTTCCACTGAAGCAACCATTTATGTAGAATTCGTTCTGATATAATGATCCTGGACTCATCCTGGAAAGTGCGGATATCCTTATCCGAGCACTAAGTAAAACGATGTATTCACACTTATTCTGTTCCCTTGACCGATGCATGTATGGAAGTCTTTTCGTCTTTCTCAATTATTTGTCAGTGAAACCCATTCTGTTATGCCTCTCCATCAGCTTATTTGTGGTAGGCCAAATTTTCATAGGGAATGGTCAATTGACTCGCATAATCGCTCTCTTCTTGGGCTTCTAATTATTCATCCTCCTCTATATCTTTTCCAACATACCAATGCAAGTAAGTCCGGTCGTACACATCAAAAAAGAATTTTCAGACCAAACGAACCCACACTTCAGAAGTCTATGTAGTGTTATTCAGAACACGAAACACTGCACTTGAGCCAAATCATTACCAGAGACAACTATAGGCGGTTGATAGTTGATGCCTACTTTAAAACCTGTTGGGCGCCAATCTACAAATTGGATACATTTCTGGGTCTCGACGTTCGCGATTGCGTGAAACGCTTTCTTTGTCGAGATTACAGGCGTGCATTTCACCAACATATAATGATTACGAGAGTAAGGAATGACGTTCGTTTGGGACTTATTAAAATCCACATTTAATGGGCCACTAAACCGAAGTGGAGCCGACACTAAACTCACTGTTTATCCAATGAGCCGATTTAGGTTCGTGTGTGATAGTCATTATGTTTTGTGATTTTTTTTTATTTTTGCTTCATTACGAACCATGAAAGCACGATCAGAGTGCTCCAGTGTGGTATGCGTCGTCAGAATCGAGTTGTGCTGATCAGCAACAGCCGTTGACGCATGTGGAGCTGAATATGTAGCGATCTTCAGTTTAGCTTCTCAGAATCAATCGTTAGTCCTTCCTTAAACAGGGGCATGAGGTCCGAACCAGTCTTACCCTTAAGGAAATGGAACACCAGAAAACCTTGCAGTACCGCACATTTCTCAGTCAGCTTACGCATGCGACTCAGCACCTCGTCAACCAGATCGTTACGCACAGCGTAGTGGCCAAGTGTGTGGTTGTTATCAGCGTACTGCTTGGCACTGGTCACTTGCCCCAGGTCGAACAACTGCTTGTATTTCCCTTTGTACTTCGGCTCAGTATCCACAAACATCACACTAAACGTGGCGACTATAATTTGTCTCACTGAAAAAGTAAATAATTCATTATTCTCACTCAAAATTTTCGAGTCACTTGCGATTCGCCGACCTAATTGTGTCCAGTGTTCAAAGCAATTGAAATGCCGACAAGTCACCCATCTGCGTACCCAATTGATAAACTTGAAGGCTAGCGCGTACACGCATGACCTTTAAAAATCACCTGCACCAACTTTACTTGAATGTGAGTGGGGGCAACAGTTTTTAAAGACACTGACTAAAATATCGATTGTCGGACCGAAATTTAACGATCAAGACAAATTGAGCTGGAAATAAGCTTGTAGTTATGCAAGTAAGTATACACATATGGATAGCTATTTGTATAAATTTCCTAGGAAATTGGCTTTATCTTACTATCCAGTTTGTGGCTAATTGTGACCTTTGTCGTCAGTTATAGGTGACAAAAGCACATCGGATTTGTAGACTACTTTACTGTCTTATGTATGACTCTGTCTCCAAAGTTGTAAGTACTACTCACTCCACCAATAGGTGAAAGGTGTTTTAGTAAGGCTAATATAATTTACACCCTAACAATTGTTTTAACAATGAAATAATCTATATGACGTATGTTTATTCCTCCTTATTAACGGGATTATACCAGTTATGAAAGCAGTTCCAGTTGAGATGAAATATTTCTACCTAGTACTGATTTGGCAGACGATTTCAAGCTGGTAATATGCGCGTCAGTCTTGTAAACGAATTTCTACTTCAAGTGGTGAATTGTTTACTGTCAGTTCAATGATAATTTATTAACGAGTTGAAACTTTTCTAACCACTTGTAGTATTCTCATCGTGGGTCTAGTTGTGTATTGAAGAGTGCCAACTTCAGATTAAAAGCCACTTCAGTCGATTTTGTGGTTATGACTAATGAATGTCTTTGATGGTGTTTTGATAAATTTTTCTTACTTCAGATGCCAGCTCCTAAAAGGTTACGTGAACTAGTGAGAGATATACGATCTGCTCGGACTGCCGCTGAAGAACGTGCTATTGTTAATAGAGAATGTGCCCTTATTAGAGATAGTTTTCGGGAAGAAAACAATACATATAGGTGTCGTAATGTTGCTAAACTGTTATACATCCACATGTTGGGATATCCTGCACACTTTGGCCAGGTATAGTTTTCCTATTTGGTTGTTATATTGACTAACTTTTGTTATGTATCATCTAATATTTCATATGTAGCGTCTGTGGTAATGATTTAGTAGTTACGGTAATGAGTAATACCCATTATATTTGGTTCACTACTTATGTATTGAGTAACCCTGGAAGGTTTTGTGATCTTATGCTGGTATATTATGAATAATTAGGATGAATTTAGAAGAGACTTAGGGCTTTGTAAGTCAATTCATCAATTAGTGAAGCTAGTATATGGCTATAAACAGAAGGCTACTAATCGGGAAAACAATTAGCGAAAAAAAGTAACGAAAGTAAAATAAGGCTAGATGCATAGGAAGACGAGGGATTAATGTAGATTTCCCAAGTCTGGATGATGATAAAGAGTGAATGATTTCAAGCCATGTCATCACGAATTTGAATGTAACAAGAACAGTTTCTGCAGAATGCAATGGTACCGTCATTTACTTCGTTGGCTTCTCATCAGGTTCTTACAGCCCAAAGACTAAGTTTACATACGTAAGTTTTAATATATCCAGAGTTCATTTTTAAACCAAAAATATATCCATACAATAGTAATAATAATAGTTACTTTATCCCAAAACAGTCATACAGAATGAAATTTTTTCCAGCGTTACGTAATCAAATGAAAGAGAGGATGAAAACATCTAGTTACCAGGGCAGGGAAGGACTGATAATCGCTTCTTTCTGAACACATAAATCGCGTTTCAGGCGTTTGACAAAGATTACTTCGGAAAACTTGAGGAGAATTGAGCTATTTTATCTGTTGGTAATTTTGAACTATCCTGAGACGTCCACCTCATTACCCGTCTCAAGGAAAGTGCCCGGCAATGTTACTGTTGAAAGCATTTGTTCCCCTGAGATGTAGGCTTTTTGATAAATGTTAGAAAATTTGGAGGTATGCCCTTCTTTCTGTTCTTCCAGTGTTGAAATTGTTTGCGTGCATCAGCTTGATAATGTCTTTCAGCTGTAAGCAGCTAACGGGAAGCCATTGAAATAAATGATGCTACCATTTTATTCTGCAAACTGTTGTTCTTGCTTTATTCAAATTCATTAAGAGGGATAAATATATGAAGTTTCATCAATAATTGCTATCCATCGCTTCTTGGCACTCTTATAAACCCATCCGTGTAGTTTACACCCTCTTGCTTGACTGAGACTAACATCCGACGGTTAAACAGGTTGACAGCATGATCTGTTCACATCACTTCTATCTCTGCTTGGAACTAGTTCTACTTCAGTAAACGTTACCCAACACTGAAGGAAATGTCTGAGATAATTAACACATTTCTTAACTGTCTTAATTAATCGATGAAGTTCAAAACCCCATTTGTTGACTAATCTTCTGTACTTAGCTCTCTTAGTCTTCTACTAATCCATAATCGGTATCGTCTTCGTTTCAAATATCTGCCTCAACTTTATTTTAGTTATTTTCCCAATTTTAAACCATTTTATTTATTTTGAAATCATTTATGCACTTCATTTTGTGTATTGTTGTGAAGCTTGACATCTTGCGTTCATGTGTTCCTTGGAGAGTCGTAGTCTATTAATATATGTGTAAAACTTGGGCACTGTGGCAGTAAGTAATAGTAATAATAATTGGTATGATTATGAACAATAAATTTTGTTCGAAACATCATCCAGTAAATAATACTGTTTCAATGTGTGATACATCTAATAAATAAACTAATATGGAAGCTTTGTCTATGCTTACGGTGATAAAGGATTCAAACCGCCAACCTTTTTATTGTCATTATTGTTATAGTTTTATTTACATAGGTTATCCAACCGCGGTAGTTGGTTATGATTTTCAGCATAGGGAAACCATGAAATTTGGACATGAAGAGACGCGCTCCTCAAGATAAAAAATATAAGAGGAAAGGAATAAAATAACCGAAGAAGGCTTGTATTATATATAGAGAGAGAACAGTGTTGTTGAATATATATTGCGCCCTTCCATTTATCTGATTTCCTGTAGTTAATTGATAACGTTTACATACTATGTTTTGATGTTTATAAGTAGGAATTACAAATTTTTTTTCATTATCCCGTCATCTGTTTCCTTAGCTCGAGTGTTTAAAACTGGTCGCTTCCTCGCGTTTCACTGATAAAAGAGTTGGTTATTTAGGGGCAATGTTGCTACTAGATGAACGGACTGATGTACACCTTTTAGTTACTAATTCACTCAAAAAGTAAGTTTTGTTTTTACTTTCCTCCTTTTATCTCAGGTGTCCTTAGTGTTAAAAAGGATATTTTGTAGGCAGACAGAAAGGTTGGTTTTAGTTTTGTAATTAGAACGAAACTTCTGCGATTATTTTATCCTATGGCTATCTGTGCTAATATTTGCGGTTCCTATTCTCACAACTGCCAGTTTCTTCTATATCTATTTCCTGTTCTGTCACCATAAATTGTATTTTCGTTACGCTCAACTAACACAAATTGATCAGTTACAGGATTTCATCATGAGCTGACAATGGCTAGAGAACCATTGGAAAACCTGGGAGTACTGGACAACCGTTTCGTCCTAGTTTGGGATTCTTCAGTAGTGCGCACCCCCGGGGTTCGAACCCAGCACCTTCTAGTTACAAGGCAAGCTAGTTCGTAGACCATTAAGCCACTGGGACCCAATCCAATGGCCTATGAATTCTAACTTCTGCCAATTCACGGTATTGCGCGACCCCTAGCCAATGTCTTCGGCGAGTATTTGTCCTCACACCCGACCTGCTGCACCAAAATTGATTATTAAGTATTACAACATTACATCCATGCAACTCATACAAGTTACACTTCAAAAAGTCACTCTGTGATTACCATATTATGTTAACAGAAATCACCTGGATACTGAACAACCAAAACAAAGTAACGGAGGATGTCACTTGTATTGTAGCTAGTATTTCACATGTAACGCTTCCCACAGCATACAACAATAAGTTACTTTCTATCTGGTTGCAGGATTTCATCATGGGCTGACATCGGTTAGAGAACCATTGGAAAACCAGCTGGGAGTATTGCCAGACAACTGTTTCTTGTTAGTTCCCTCGAGCTCTTCACCAATATTCACTCACCGCCAGGTTTCGAACTCATTACCTTCCGGTCACATGGTGAGTGAGCTCGTAGACCATTAATTCAACCGCTGGAACCCGACTCCAATGGCCAGCTCATGAATTCCAACTTCTACGAATTCATCTCGACAAATCTATTGGGAACCTATTTTCGAAGTATATCATATAAAGCAAAAGTTTCTAAAAAAAATTATCTTCAAGATGTTGACGGAAGAAAGAAATAAGGTGGATAGTTCATGTGTCTGTCTGTCTGTCTGGATTCAACATAGAACTTGGCACCGAAGTGCAGCAGTTCGAGTTGCCACGTTCCAAATAGCACACAGAGGTAGACAAGAAGATGAGTGAAGAGAATTAATAGAGTTTGACAAATATAAGAGTGAAACAGAATGGGTAATGGTAGAAAGGAATATGAAAGATTACAGAGATTGAATACATCTGCGCCATTGACAACGATTTTGAGCCATGTCACCTATTGTCTCCAGCCATTGATTCCTAGAGTCCCGAGGGCCCCAACCCGGGAGTCTGCATCTCCCTACCTGACTCAGTTTAACTGTCAAGGATTTCATGGATTGATGCCATGTTTTTGTTTGGCCACCACTGGCTCTTTTCCAACCTGAACCTATATCAGCTAACAATGCCCGTCGGGGGAGGCGGTGGTTAGGCATGCGCACCACGTGACCTAGCCATCTTAGTCTATGTAACTTTATAACCTCGTCGATTGATTTTCCCTCTTTGCCCAACACTCTACGCCTAACGTCAACATTACTTATCTTGTGAAACCACCTAACGTGAGACAGAGATCGCAGACATCTATGATCGAAAGCAGTCAACCTTTTCATGTCTTCAACGCGTATTGGCCATGTTTCAGAGCCATAGAGAAGGACGGAGCGAACTGATGAGCAGTACACACGTCCCTTGGTTGATAACCGGATGTCACGCCTACGCCAGAGATGGTGTAAGTCAGCGAAAGCAGCTCGAGCTTTTCGGATCCGTGCTGAGATTTCATCGCCAATCAGTCCGTTGGTGCTAATACAACTTCCCAAGTAGGTGAAGTGGTCAACATGTTCTATCACTTCACTCCCTATCACTAAGTTAGGGGTTGACGTCGTCCAGTCCTGTAGCAGCATCTTACATTTTGCAGGGGCGAATCGCATGCCAAACATACGAAGATTGCTGCTCAAGGTGTTCAGAAGACTCTGCATTTTGTCAGCATCCTCCCCTAACAGGACTATGTCATCTGCATATTCTAAGTCCATTAGATTATTCCCTGGTAACAAGTCGATTCCTAAGTCACTACGTTCAGTTAAGGATACTTCCATTAGCATATCTATGATGAAGTTAAACAGAAATGGGGAAAGTGGACATCCCTGTCGGACACCACTGGTTGTTACTAATTCAGATGACAATTCCCCATAAGCCCTTACACGACTACGTGAGTTTGAATAGAGTGCCTTGATTAGTGCAATGTACTTTCTTGGCACTCCCTTCACAGTCAGACATTGCCATAGTACTTTTCGGTCCACGGAGTCGAAGGCCGCCTTCAAGTCAAGAAATATGACAATTGTTGGACGCCGAAAAGTGTGTCTATGTTCTAGAATCTGTCGAAGAGTGAAGATATGATCTATGCACCCTCTACCTGGTCTAAAGCCTGCTTGATTTTCCCTTGTCTGTTCCTCCCGAGTTCTGCTTAGTCTATGCATGATTACTGAGCCTAGGATTTTAGAGACTATGTTCGTTAGGCTGATCCCCCTATGATTATCACACGAGGACTTGTTTCCCTTCTTGAATATCGGTATAATAAGTGACTTACCCCAGTCTGATGGTACTGTCTCTGATTCCCAGACTTTGCCTAGTACCTCAGTTAATCTACAAACTAGTATGTCACCCCCATATTTAAACACCTCCGGAATAATTCCGTCGGGTCCTGCCGCTTTGCCTCGTTTCAAATTACTGATAGCTTTTGTAACCTCACCTACAGACGGCGGACCAGTGTCTATATCCCATTCGGGTACGTGGTGGATGGCGGGGAGGTTCAGTGTGGCTGTAGGCAAGTTAAATTGTTCCTCAAAGTGTTCTTTCCAGCGTTCAAGGCGTCTATCCTGAGAGCTAATTAAGGAGCCATTTTTCTCAGAAATAGTCTCACTTATGAATTGCCTTTTCCCGCCCGATTCTGTGATGAGTCTAAAGAGTTGCCTAGTGTTGCCTATCGCCAATGCTTTTTCCATCTCTTTCGCCTTTGTCACCCACCACTGTTCACGGTCCTTGCGGAGACTTTTAGTAAGTTTCCTTTTGTGCAGCTTTCGCTCCTCATTGAATTCGGAGCTCGCCGGAATAAGTCTTCTAGCATCTATCAGTTCGGATGAGGCAGTCGAAATCCAGTGGTTTTTACTCACCTTTGGATTTGTCTTATTCACAGCTTTTACAGCTGTATCTATAGCTGACTGAATATTCTTCCAGGCTTCTCCAGGGTGAGCACAGCTGTCGGATTCAGATATGCGTTTAGCTAGTTCTTCCTCAAATAGGGATTTAGTTTCCTGATCGAGCTGGGGGCGTAATGGTTTTACCGCCAGCTGTTTCCTACGTCCGTTCAGTCGTAAGCACACACGAGCCCGGACCAGTGCGTGATCGGTATCTACACACGTGTTCCAGAAGGAGCGACAATCTCCTACCGACCCACGCCAACGATAGCTTATTGCTATGTGGTCTATTTGTGTCCAGCGTTGGTTTGATGATGGGGGTCGCCAGGTTAAACAGTGTCTCTCCTTGTGTTTAAAGTTAGTGCTTACAAGAAACAAATGATTATCTGAACAGAACTGTAGGAGACGGTCACCGTTGTCGGTTCGCTGGCACGGAACTCCATAGGTGCCACCGACATCCTTCTCAGATTGACACAATTTCCCTACTTGAGCGTTGAAGTCACCAGCTAGAACGACTATATCTGAGCGTTTAGCCTTTCTCACCAAACTAGACAGCTTTTGGTAGAACTCATCCTTCGTTTCATCCGAACTGCAGTCAGTGGGGGCGTAGGCGGAGATTACGAAAAGGCATCGGCGAGTAGTGCAGTCCTTTCTCCTTCTTACTGATCCGTTCAGACGGACAGCACACATTCGGCTATCTACTGGGATCCAGTCAAGCAATGTCTTTTCTGCCCTAGTACTCAGAGCTATCCCTACGCCAGCTAATCCCGTGAACTAGCTGTGGCATCTCCTGACACCCTCAAGGTGAATTTTGAAGATTCATCCTGTTGGCCAGGTGGGGTTAGGTGAATAACCACACTTGGGTCTTGTATGCGTGTTTCTGAAACACAACATACATCAATGGCTCGAGATGCCAGGGTCTTAGCTAGTGATGCTTGTTGTCCTATTTGGCAAAGTGTCCTTACATTAAATGCTCCTATATGAAATTGGTGGCGTGGCTTTAGGAGACTATCCGTGGTGGTTTTTTGGCTTTCGTCGTTTTTAGTGGACACAGAGTGAAGAGGGAGTGAGGAGCCATCAAGTAGAGGAGTTGCATCACTGGGGGAAGGTAAGGTAATAGAGATGAAGATGAAGACAAAGATAAGTGAGGATTAGAGAGGTTTTGTGTGCGTTTTGGATTGTGAGGGCGATTGTTACTTCCCGGCTGCCCACACCGTGGAAGTTGGTTGCGTGACCGCAGAGCCCAGGGGACAACTGCTTGTGGCCGGTCACACGCGGCCTGTTTTTGTTCGTTCTTCGTTGTTTTGTGTGCCTCAGTAGCATACTTATCACTCCCGCCCTGTGACACGGCAGCAGGAAGCGCGGTCGTTGTTAATCCGGGCCACGGCCGATCCGGCATGAAATTTTGTGAATTTGTTTGGATCATGGTATTGGATGAGGTAGCTGCTTTTTGTTTAACCGCTATCCAAACAACCTGCCTGGCATGGTAGAACCTCAAGAGACATAAGTCTCAGCCAGTATAGCTTGATTAGGTCATTGCGGTGTTCAAGCCCGACCACCACGTCAAGGTAGCAGCTTTCGGTCGGGGGTTCATGTGTAGTTCTTGTATTCCTGTTTGATTCTCTTCGATTATGTGTTCCACAAAAGGGTCACGTTACCTGCGTTGAGCGATACATACATGTTAGCTTGGTGCCTAAATCTCAGTAGTTAGAGCCCATATTTGTTACTGTTGACTTTAGAAGTAAATGCTTACTGATTGTATTAAATTATGACTATATGTTGAATTTACTTCATTAGACACAATGCATAAAGATAATGACTGATAATTTATGCACAACACATTGCATGTAAAATTATATAATACTGGCATCAAATGCCGTAAATACTGTGTCGCCTTTATTTATATTAGATACCACTAGACTTTATGTAGAGCCTTTATTTTGTTTCATGACGCCGTTCTTTTATTCCATATGTGTAATACATCTATCTAAGCAGGAACTTCAATTTGCATTTTTCAGTGATCTGAATCATCCAACACCCTATGTGGTTAGTTTAGCTCTGTGCACTTTGGGGAGTATATGTTCTGCTGAAATGAGTAGAGATCTAGCTGGAGAAGTTGAACGCTTGATCAGATCATCAAACGCCTATATAAAAAAGAAGGTGAGTGTTCACACATGATGCATAGTGTCGAAGTGTCAAAGTTTTCATTTTTCATATAAGTGGATTAGATAGCTTGCAATACAATGAATTTATTACTTAGTAGTTAGTTAGTTAACAAAAATATTAAAAGAGAAAGAAACTTTTCTTAATGTTGATATTTACCTAGGATTGATTAGTGTTCTCTTGTTGTTTTCATCTTTAAAGGGAAATCACCACCACCGATCACTAGGTGTATAAGTATTTTCATCTAACTCACAAGGTTTCAGCATTCATTTACGAGTGCTTTCATACTTCTTGAATAAGAAGACAGTTGCAGCGAAGAAAATTTTGTTTTCGACGAAGTCATCATCTAGGCTGTACATTCGTGTATTTATATCAAATAGATGGGAAAGTTCCAGAATAATTTCCAGTTAAGGGTCAAATTAATAAAAATTACAATTAGGAATTAAAATGCCATAATAAACAGGGGGACGGATAAAAGTCAAACAAAGTAGCATCATAATTACTAAGAAGATTGACATTGTGCAATTAGGGGTTAGAAATGTAGAAATAGTAAAATGACATAATAAACAAGAAGTTCGGATATGAAAATATGGTAGTGTTATCAGGGATTAAGAAAAACTTTAAAAAAAACATGAATAAACAGGAAGTTTAGATAAGAAAGGCAATGGGACGGTCATTACTAAAAAAATTACCTGTTTAAGATGGCCATATCAGGGACAGGGGTTGGACGTATTTCTTTTGGATACATAGCTTGAGCTTTTGGATAGCTAGTGCCTCAGCCATACCCAGATGTCTTGATTTCAATCCCTTTGATAGGCTTGATTGAATCTTGTAGGAAGGATTTTCCGAAAGGCGCTGAATGTCCTGAATCGACCAGATGTTCTGTCACTGCACTGTATACACGTTTTTGTTCGCCTTTTACTATTATGCTTTTCTTGTACTTTCTTCTCTTGCTTCGCGTGCTACACGGAATGTGGCGACTTGAACTTCCGCACATTTGTGCAAAGTTCTATGTCGAAAACAGACAGACAGACAGCCAGACTGGGTAGTGTTCGTGAGCGCGGTTTTCAAGTTGGTGCATGGTACAGCCGATGTACTCAGCAGCAGCTCAGCCAGAGAGCAAATAAACTGGTATATGCATGCTGAAGTCCCCAATGAGACAGCTTGTTTTTCGCGTTCTAGCTGAACAGTTTGTTGCAGGAAAACGTCAGTCGTAGGCTCGCGGCGAAGTATGTTTTCCTCAGCGATTTGGAGAGGCGTTTACGCAGGATTTCTGCTTCAATATCACGTTTGAATTCTAGATTAAGCAGAAGTATTTTCTTTGGGAACGGATTGGACTTGTTCGGAAGTCTTCTTAGTTTTGAGATTCTTGTCTATGAACTTGGGCGGGAAACCGTTTCCCATCAGGGTTTTTCGGAGATTACGCAGTTCTTCTTCAATTACTTCCTCTTGAATAGTTTTTCCTAGGCAAGGATGGGAATTTTTTTTACTGCAGTTGTGCACGTGCGGATCACTTACCTGTATTCTTATTAATACAAAATCATTTTTGCTTGATAAGTTTTATATTGAGGATTTTAAACAGCTGTGTCAGCCATAGATATGATATGATAATCTCAAAAGTTGACTGGTAATTGTTGTAAAATGCGTACAATGATGAATACACCAGTGTTGGCTTGCGGAGATTTGATTTGGTTGGTTACAGGATTTTATCGTTAGCTGACATCAGTTAGAGAACCACTGGAAAACCAGTACGAACTACTGCCAGACAGCTGTTCACCCGTCTAGTTTGAGACTCTTCATCAGTCTGCACCCACTGACAGGGTTCGAACCCAGGACGTGCCACTTACAAGATGAGTGAGCTCGTAGACCATCGGTGTTGAGTATTTGTCCTCATACCCCACCTGCTGTACTCCACTGGATGTTACTTGCGTTTTTTGCTGTCATGCTATGCGTAGATTTTAATGAATTTATGTAGGGATTACTTGAAACATTGGAATAGCTGTTACTACGAATTCCTTAAATTGACTTAGTAAAGGGTAATATCTATCAAAAGTTATTAATTTCACAGCCAAAACCAAAAAGCATGTTAGATGATCCCAGTAGTTGAGTGAGGGAGCTCAGTTGAATCGAAAAGTGCACTGGAGCAACTTATAGACTTCTGTGCTGACAGATCAACAGTTATTGTTTAATAATCTGTTCTTTGCCATCATTAATCGCTCAAAAATGATGATGAGTGGACATATAATTTAGCTGTAAGTCATTCATGGAAAGGATCAGCGGGATATTGACACCATTTCTTAATCTTCTGTATGGACTTCGACCACACATACATGCATAAACTTGCATCCAGAACTGATTAGACTAGGAAAAGATTTGAATACCACACACATACGTACGGCTTATTCATGTAAATGTCAGATGTGTATTTCACTAGAAGTTGGGGGTGGGGGGAGGAGGATGTGTCTGATCGTAAGATGGTTACTCACTCATTCTGAAGACCCGTCACACCATGTTGTGTACCTTTTGTGGAAAGTTTTTAAGTGAGTGTTTTTGAAGATATTGGTTATCATCTGGAAAAATCATGTCTGTACAGGCGAAGTACTTGGAAACATAATAATGTGTATGATAGATAGATAGATAACCAGAATAATGTTCTCATTACTGAGATGAGAAGACAAGGCAGACTAAAAATTATTTATCCAAGGGAGAATGGCAAATAGCTATGAAATTTAGTTATCTATACAGACCTAGTTTACATGATCATTAACTTACAAATTGAGTGCTTAAAAACGTTGCTCCAACTGCTATACAACATATGAGTGAAGGGTGAATTACTTTAAGGTAGGTGATTTTCGCAAATCCATATGAATGGTAGAAGTATTTTGTGAAGCGCAAGATATTGAATAGCTCTTCTGTGGTCCAGGAGGGGCATATTACATGACGGGTAAGCGTATAACGGCTGGGCGCACGTTGGTAAGACCGTTGAGTGACATTACGCGCCAAGCCATTGCTTCAGTGGAAGGTGAATGGGGGGTGGAGGGAACAATGAGTGTGGTGTGAGTTTGAGGGTGACGTGGAGCAGATCGTGGGGTGGGGAGAAGATTAGAGACTACGGGCAATCGTGTGGGGTCAGCTGATGAAGAGAACCGCAGAGAGTATGACAAAGTCATGTGCTACTGAACCCATATGTTCCACCGGGGACCCAAAGAAATAATAATAATACAGTGGTACTCGGTAGCAGAATCGTTTATTTGACAAAATAATCTGTAGTGAAGGTGAAATACAAAACCTAGCGTTGAAATTTCAACGTGCTAAAGTTATTCGTAGTCTGCTGCGTCTTTCGTCTACCTTCCATGCTCTATCTAATGTTCTACAAGAAGGATCTTCGTGTTTTCGCTCTTTCCACCTTAATCTGTCTCTCAGCTATTCGGGATTCTTGCTGAAGACAATACACACACAATATGCTACGCATAAACTCTTGTCAGTAGCACACGCTACAAATTAATATATTTATGTAACTCATCATAGTCGACTGACAGCTGTCCTCAAACCACATATAATTGAATAAGTGTCATATCGCAGATTATTTAAACCGTACAACTTGATTATGCGAAGTAAAAAATGCAAACCACTAACCGTTCCTATTCGTATTGTAAGTGGAAAAGACAGATGAATTGTTGTTTTCAGACAGTTTGGGGCGATCGGCAGTAAATCTTGCATCTAAGTTTCGTGCTTGTTAATACTCACCAGTCAGCAAAGCGTGTCTACAATCTGGAACTCATCGGAGATATGCGCCTATTCCTGAAGCTTTTGTCCAATCCAATGTTTATTGAAGAGAGAGAGAGAGAAATCTATGTACTTGGATAACAAAAATATTGAAGGCGGCGAGAAGCAAACTGCTGTCTGCTGTAACTAGTGAATTGAGTATGTTCGTCGTAGTGGATAAAATAGTCCAAAATGATTAAGTTTTCAAAACTGTTCATCATCGTGTCTTAGCTGACTACTGTGAGCATATCGCGCTGTTGAATAAGTGAGAATTAAAGGGAAATTAAATTCAGCCTTTGACGAAAGGTGAGTTGTCTAATCAAGCTTATTATCTTCGATAGATTGAAATCCCCCTAGCAGCGAATTTCGGCCCTGCAGCCGGATCGTGTGTGCGTGTGTGTGTGTATAAGTTCGTACTGATATTAGTACCCTTCAACGTTTATTTACCATTGTAGCATTGTTTAGAAATGCCACAAATAAGTACTTTCTAACTTGAAATTTTTATTCATAAGGCCTTTTTTATAGATCATTATCTGTATCATGGATCACTATATCGAGTCAGCGAGAAAAGCTTTTCAGTATTTAATGCAGTTGAAATGTTTGCCTACAACGAAAATATATATCAGTGAAAAGCATTCCAGGTTTATTCAGTTCATATTGCATACTGGTTCAAAGTTTCCAATTAGTTCTGAAATGTCATGAGGTGCCAGCGAGGATTATTATTACTTATTATTTCCTTGAGTTTGGAGAAGAAAATAACGTTTCAGCAGCGCATCCCCATTTTCATCAGTTCTCTGTAGTCCTCTTTATGTGGCTCCACGATTTCCCGTATGCTTTCGTGTCTTCCTCACACGACCTCCTCTATGACCCCATCGGGTCCAAACCCAACTACAGAATCTGCCTGACGCGCGATGTCATTCGAAGGTATCTTGAGCGTGTGTCCGGTTCACCTTCATTTGCTTCAGAATATTTCTTCAGCAATAGGTTCTTCATGACCTCATCCCCTGAGTCCTCAGCGGACAATTCTTTCCACCAGTCATCTCATCTTCAGTATGGAGACAGCCAGAAAAGGCACCAAATGTTGGTAAAGGCCTCCACTGACCTGTTACAAATGCTGTTTGTGACACGTGAGCCAAGTTTCTGATCCACTATAGGTAGAAGCACTAACTGGCTGACTTAACATTGGTGTTGAAAATTCGAATTTTTTTTTCTTTATGCTGAGGAGTGTGGGAGATTTCCAAACTGATTTCAGAATGATGAATGTGTGTCGTGCCTTTCTAAGTCTGTCTCTGTCTGTCTGGCTTTGACATTGTCATCCGTCACTTCGCCTGTAGTTGAAACGACGTTTCCTAAATAAGTGAAGTCCTGTCTTTGCTACCTGCCTTTAATGCCAGTTTGTTGGTCTTCCTCTGTAAGTTTTGGAGTTTGTGTGACATTGAGCATAAATCGTCCACGAACTCCAGATCTTTTAGAGTCTTCTTATCGGTCCAACGTATTTCTGACTTCTCTCTCCCCAAGCACGATGTGCTGCATAATCCTGTTCACCGTAATCAGGAATATCATCGGTTATAGTAAGCACCTTTATCTTACTTCTGCCTTCACTTCAAAGGCTTCGCTGAGTTCTCCGTTGTGCTTCACTTGACATATGACATTGTAATATATAGCTGTTGAGTATGAGGCTGACAAATATTTGGGGCACTCGGTAGTGCTAAAGCAGTCTACAGATTACTTCGTAGTCGACTTTGTCAAAGGCTTTCTCAAAACTTTTCCAAAATCTCATCATCACTTTTCAATGGGATTTGTGGTTTTTTTTTCTTACCTTTTGTATTTCATCTCGACAGGCGGCATTATGTGCCTTCCAAATTATTCGTAAGGTACCTGATCTAATGGAGATGTTCATACCTTGCACGCGTTCACTTCTAACGGAAAAAAATCATGGTGTATTACTGGCTACTATCTGTTTGATTCAAGAAATGTGTGAACGTAGTCCCGATACTTTGGGTTATTTTCGCAAGGTGAGGTTATATGTGTATGTTTTCATTTTAAATGTATCATATTACCTATCTATTAATTATTGTAATTATTCAAGTCATGGTTTGCAAGCATTTGATTTGATTGGTTACAGGATTTTATCGTGAGTTGACATCGGTTAGAAAACCATCGGAAAACCAGCTGGGAGTATTGCTAGACAACTGTTTCACTCGCCTAGTGTGGGACGACTGTTCACCAATGTGCACCCACCGCCAGGGTTTGAATCCAGAACGTACCAATTACAAGATGAGTGAGCTCGTAGACCATTAAGCCACTGGACCCGACTTAGTGACCAGCTTACACATGCTACTGGCACCAGCTAATGTCATCGGTGTCGAGTATTTTTCCTCGTACCCGACTCGCTGTATCCTACCGGTCGCGAAAACAGGCTTTTTAATAGTATTTCAGCTTTAAGTTAGCGAATATATGGTTTTCACAGACGGATTAGTGATTGTTCTCCGTTGAGTCATCCAATCAACATTTCGATTGACAAAATGCAATTCGTAATTAGCTCAACCAACATATTGGAAACATGTATTTACTGATACAAATTCAAAGCAAGCCACAGAAGGTATTATTGATAAAGCGGGACTTAATGAATTCACCAAATTTCGATGGGATTACGCTTCCTCATCAGGATTCATACTCTAAATACAGGGATATAAAATTAAGATAAAATGCATTATGCGGTTCGGTTATATCACTTAAATAAACAGTTAGTTATCAGTGAGTGAAAAAACCGCAATATATCAAGAATTGCCAACTAAACAATAGTAATAGTTACAGTAACAATAATAATAATAATAATGTTAAAACGAGTTAAGATGATAGTTATGATAAAAGATAGTTTTAAACGAATCACAAATAGTTATGAGGCAGAATAAAATACAGAATAAAACATTGATAAAAGCAACATTTAATAAATAAAATATGTTACCATGGTAGATTCAGAGTGACGATCATTTCCTTATGTACACAGAGGCGCCTGGTTTATAAATTCGAATTGCACAAGCCTCCTCGAACGCAAAGATCCTCCTGTTTTTATTTGTTTATCTGCTGACAACAGTGAACCACTCTTGACAGCGTCAATGTCATGTCCGTAGTCCACAAGATGCTTTGCTATTGAATTTTTAGCCAATTTGATTTGTTGTTGTTGTTTTCAAGCACCTTGGTGAATGCTTCATCTTGCAAGTAGACAATCGCCTTTCTGTACGACCTATGTATTTGCTTCCAGAAACACACTCAAATTGATTATAGGCAGTTTGAAGTGTCGAGGGTTGGCAAACACTGGCCTTTTGTAGATTGTTGAAGCACACACTTTGTGGTGTTTAGTTAGAAATTCTTGATATCTTATCAGTCTTATATCTACCAATAGAGTTGTAATAGTATATATATATGATGATATTCCTGTATGTAGAGTACCCAGCTGAAGAGTCCTATCGAAGTTTCATGAATTCATTAAATCCTGCTTTTGCTACTTGCTGTAAAAAAAACTGGCCTAACAAAATGAAATAAAAATAATATTAGGAAACCTGGAATGTAATTAACGAATAATAGGGAACAAATAAGCCAACTAAAATTTACTCCACTTCTGGTTGACAGCAGACGACGGTATGAAAGCCTCTGAGACACATACCCATGCCACTGGAGTCTATTGCCTAAAATGGAATCATTATTCTAAACTTTATTTAAATGAGCGATTGGAGCTCTAAATGTTTCATATGATTTTGTACCTGAATACAACTAATCTCATGAAGACATCGAATGCTGAACTTATATCTTTATTGTAAACTTTTATTTCCAAGCATCAGTTATGTTTTTACGTGAATCCTATATTTCATCTGTCACATTTCTGAAACTCACCTAAGTGCATAATCGTACAATATTTTCGACAACTCATAGTTCATCCAGCAGCAGTGTGTACAACACAGACTGCTGTCAATCCTTCGAGGAAATTGCGTGTTTCATTTCAGTGGTACAAGGCGGCGAGCAGCAAAATGACCCTCTCCGGCCGTCGTGCTAGTTGATTATATGCAGTATCAGAAACCAGTAGTTCATCACACAGTTATAAACAATATTGTCAGAATACCCATCATTTAAGATGATGTTACGGAGCTAAACTGCTAGCTAAAAATGAAGAGTGAAGTGGTAAAGCGTATTGTAAGCACTTCACTTCTTTAGAAAGTTCTATCAACCAGTCCAAGCGGGGTTGGTCACAGACAAGATCTCATTATGAATATGAAGGCTCGTTTGCCATTCGCCAACAACTTACACCATCTCCAGCCGACTGTCTGACAGTCTGGCTGGTTGGTTGTCGACTAAGGGCATACGTGTGTACTGTTCAGCAGTTCAATCCGTCCGCCTTTATGACTAGCTGACTGTGAGTGAAACGTTGCCGTTATTGAGAGTGGAAGACATGAAAAACCACGCCAGCCCACTATCTTTCATCATCATGAGTTTAGTCTGTGCTCTATCTACATCCTGTGTTAGGTTAGGTTAGGTGGTAGGTGTAATGAGGTGAGCAATAGTGAGTTGAAGAGGCATCGATGGAGTGAGTCCTTGCTTGGTTAGGAGGAAGAGGGAAAATCAATCTGTTGACAAGGTTGTCAAACAGTTACATCCATTCAAGTGACATGGTTAGGACATGTGCTAGGCATCCCTGTCTAACAATCAATCGTCCTATCATCCCCTACTTCCTCTACAAGGAAAGCTAACTGATATAGGATGGATCAGGTTGGAAAAGAACTAGTGGTCGTCAAACGGAAGCATGTCTTCATCAGTCATTCAAGATGCACAACAACAGTTAGCCTAAGCCAGTAAGTCAGCCAGCCAGTCGGTTATGTAAGGAAGAGTATACTGGCTTGTTGGGGTCCTCGGGATGGTAAGGACAAGTGAATGCCGATGACAATTGTTGGTCATCCTTCTCAGTGATGGAGAAGATGATTCATTCACTCTTTGTCACTTGTCATATCCAGTAAAACTCTGTCGCTCTTCTATTATGTTGCCATGGATGGAGGGAGAGTGACAACTCGAGCTGCTGTTGCACATCTGTGCAAAGTTCTATGTTGAGACCAGTCAGTCAGTCAATACTCGGGGTTAAACAATCTTTCTCCAAGTTGCACAATTACACCATCGCTACGCATGTGTTTTTCATAAGTATTTGTAGAATATCGTCAATGAAAAAGTTAAACGGAAGTAGCACAAAACTGAACAATTCTCTCAATCCATACCATATTGGTATGAAACACTATTGTTAGGTTTCTTTACATAGGGTAACGGGTTCAGTTCGCATTCCTGGTAAACAGGGAGTATATTGAGATCAGATATCTTATGTGATCTAGCCTAATAAACAATAAAGACTATGCATCATTTACTAATAGTATATATTCCAATGGTTATTTTTTACAGATCTTTTATTTGATACTAGATGGTTGGAGTCCGTTGTTAGGAAGCCTTGGCATTCACCAGTCAGAAAAGCGCATCAGTAATCTTGAAGAAACTCCTGACCCTTGTGAGATTCAAACCTTTGTCACTTAGTAATGTAGTGAGACGTTACTACTAAGCTATTCGGGCTCGCGATTCACCTCCTGTAGGGCAGCAGTGGATACTTTGGTTAGACACACTGGGTGGTAACCAGTACCATGCACTGTGTCCTTTGTTTGGCTCAGACTGAATTATATCAGTCCAGTTTGCAATATGGCCACTATGCTAGGTGGCTCGCCATCACAGTGCATCATGGCCACCTAGTTTTTGGTGGCCATATTGTAAACCGGACTGGTATAATTAAGTTTGCTTTAAACAAAAGACTAAGCACATTACATCAGTTAATTAATGTCCAACCAAAGACTTAATATCTATATATGTCTATCCCGCAGCGCCTTAAAATTTGTAATCTTTTATACTTTTTCTACCCTCTAGCAATTGGTTCCCACATTAGTACGTACACTGAAGAATCTCATAATGACAGGCTATTCACCGGATCACGACGTGAATAAAATAAGCGACCCATTTCTTCAAGTAAGTAGTTGTCTATGACTACACAATAAAACTAATTAACAGCTTAGTTTTAATGATATAGACTGTGTGTATTTTTCCCGTGTAAATTCTTTTAAATCATTCCGTTTTTTATTTTTACTTACTTACTTTACTTTACTTCGGCTATCTCCTACGGGAGGATGAGCCGGCTTCATGAACATCTCGAATCATCGCTGCCCAGGCGCGGCAATTTGTAAGAGAGTTCATGAAGTTTCATGGGAATTTGGTACGAGTGATGTCCCCAGAATCGCTCGGCCTTTTGTTTGAGAGTGCAGCTCTAGCCTTTACACAACCAAGTGTGACCTACAAGGCAGTAGGAGTGGAGTAAGGAGTCCACTATCCATTGGCAGCCGATGACCGGAGTTCGGTTCATACGCCTTTTTGAATGGGGCCAGACATCCAGGACATCCAACAAGCCCTTTGTCCATACGTCTGCCGGTGAGCTCCAGTGAGCTTCATACGCCAATTATTGGAGGTTTGGAATCAGGGTTTAGCCATCTCCCCTAGACTGTCATCCAATGGACAGTCAACCCGGTGGAGAGCGCCAGGCATCCGCTTTCGCCCTCTCACTTTGGTGAGAAACACCTCCGCCACGTGAAGGCAGTGAGTAGGACTTCCTCAGGAGAGGCTATGTAAGACTCCTGGTCATATGGGAGCATTTCAAGAGATTTCAAGAGGTGTGCAGAGGGGTGGCCAACCCGCAGCGCAAGGCACCCACCCACGACCATCCTGAGGCTTTGGAGGCATCACATTGACTCATTAAATTGGGAAATTAAAAATTGAAATCTATTGAGATTCGTTTGAATGAATTACTTGTGCATTTTTGGTTACTAAAGTATGTGATAAGAAGGATGTAAGGCAGAGAGCGCCTAATTACAACGTATTTGGTTAGTCATTCTATGACATCTCTCTTCAGATAGTTTGTTCAATTATACTGACGTATTACTGTTCCGCCGATGTTTCGTGTGTAATATTACACAAACTCAAAGACTTACAAGCGACGACCAATTAACTGGCAGAAGAAGAAGGAAGCGAGGACAGGACTTCAAGTTGACACAGAGAAGACAGACGTCATGAAGGATAACCCAACCATCAACAATAACAACAAGTACCAATCCACTACTAACGGAAGAAACTTGAAAGAGAGATCACTTCCTTCACTTATTTAGGAAACGTCGTTTAAACTACAGGCGAAGTGACGGATGACAATATCAAAGCCAGACAGAGACAGACTTAGAAAGGCACGACACACATTCATCATTCTGAAATCAGTTTGGAAATCTCCCACACTCCTCAGCATAAAGAAAAAAAAATCGGATTCTCAACACCAATGTTAAGTCAGCCAGTTAGTGCTTCTACCTATAGTGGATCAGAAACTTGGCTCACCTGTCACGAAGAGTATTTGTTATAGGCCAGTGGAGACTTTTATCCACAGCTGGCGCCTTTTCTGGCCGTCTCTATCCTGAAGATGGGATGACTGGTGGAAAGAATTATCCTCTGAGGACTCAGGGAACGAGGTAATGAAGGAGCTATTGTTGAAGAAATATTCTGGAGAGAATGGAGGTGGATTGGAAACACTCTGAAGATGTCCTTAAATGACATTGCGCATCAGACAGATTCTGCAGTGGTCTTTGATCCGAGGGTATCATAGAGGAAGTCGTGTGAGGAAGAGAAGGAATCTTACAGCCAATTGTCGGGTCAGTTGAATGGTGTTACAGAGGAGGAGGAGGAGGAGGAGACGAAATGGAAGGGTTCTGCTGAAGCCATGTTTTCCACTCGGAACTCAGAAGGGGGGTGGGGGGTGGAGTAACAACAGTGATAACAATGAATTACTGTTTCATAGCTATAGTTCTGAATCAGACTTTCGTTTGTATTACAGCTAATTTATTAGCTTGATTTCATTATTTTTATGATGTACTGATAGGGAGATTTAATGGAATTTGGTTGTTGTCGTTGTTGTCAGCATACGAGGTCTAAGAGAAGAACTACATATAATCATTGTTGTTGTTTTCTTACATTAATTCAAGACGACCAACACTTCGTTTATCAACCAAAGTTTGTCTTTTCTCTAAATGTGTAGGTGAAAATATTAAGGCTAATGCGGGTTTTAGGACATGGTGACAAAACTGCCAGTGAAGCGATGAATGATATTCTTGCACAAGTAAGTCTGAACTGATTAATGCGCTTACATAATATTGTATTATTTAAACACTGTCGTTTTATCAGAAGAATTGTATTTGTTTTTAGCGCGCGCGCTAACCTATCATATCCGAATAGTGATCATTAAAGTGTAACGTCAACTATGTCAGTTTTATGCTAATTTGTTGATTGGTTCGATCGCAATTTGATATCAATTAGGGGACAACTGGAAAACCACCTGGGAGTACTGGACATCTGTTTTGTAATAGTTTGGGACTCTTCATCAGTGCGCAACTGTGGGGGTTCCAACCTAGGACTTTCCGGTTACAAAGCAAGCTAGTAAATCATTCAGCTAATGGGACCTGAACCAATAGCCTGTGAACTCCAACTTCTGTCGATTCATGATATTAGAGCTAAAGGCACATATACTGATTATGTCACTTTGTTCAACTCGAGATTTCTCTATAATTCTGTGTTTATTTTTCATAAATTTCTCACCTTCTAAAAAAACAGTGTTTTTCTCTTTACAAAGTCAGTAAACAATGTTTCCACGTGAAAATTGGTTCTAAACATCTGCATTCTATACGTCGTGAGGTTATTTGCTAATTAACACTCCTTTTTTTACCCGGTCATCATGCAAAGTCAGATAAATCTTATTTCATGTTCTGGGTGAGGCGTTTTCGTGTATAGAGTGTAGCAAACGTTTCAACAGATATTCCAACTGACTTCTCAGAACAGGTCTTTTATGTCCCAGACTATGGGCTGCACTTTATTGTGTGACGGCTAAGTGATACTAACTAATTGCCCCCCAGTCTGTGAGGTAGCTGTAGCGGGATTCGAACTTGGGATCCACCGACTCACTGAAAGCTGAGGGCTTAAGTCGCCAATTAGCCACGTTGCCAATAAAACAAAGAGCTGATATAACCCCTTTAAAACAGCCAGATGTAATAACATCTGATGATGATGATGATTACAGCATTTCTGTGGGTATGTAATAGAAAACCTACCAACTACCTGAAGAAATTCGAGTCGTAATTGACCGCCTCCGTTTTGCCTATTCGAGTATATTGAGACGAAAGCACGGTAAATTTGATTTGCAAAGACTTTTCACATGTTTGAATCTGTGCATTAATTCATTTACGAGATTTTGATGTGGCACTGAAAAAAACACTATACCCCAGTTTTAGTTACCATGTCTTAAGACAAGAAATAATAATAATAATTGCTTTATTCCAAAAACAGTACTCATGATACAGCAAGGAATTTTCAGCATTCAGTACAATATTGCATCTAATTTACTCAAAAACGACAAAAAAAATTAAAAATACACAATACATAATAGTAATAAAACGATTGTTGTAGCAGCTACGTAGCAAAATACTGTGTGCCATACGGAGAAAAATATGTATAAAGTACAAAATTGTAGTAATAATAGTAATACCAACTAATATAAAATAGCAGAGTAACGATTTAAACGATAGAAAGTGTAACACCATAAAATACAGAAAGATGAGCGATAAAAGGGTCGATTCACTGTGCTAATTACATAGTAACTTGTAAGTTTCACGTCTAACAGAGTCTTCGTCACATAAAGTACGCGCTAAATAGGGTATTGTAGAATTTCTATACTTAGTAGTACGAGCATATATCTTTTTATATTGACTTCTCGTCCTACCTGATGAGATACAAGGGGACAGGTGTGAATAAAGGGGGTGCAGAGGGTCTGACATTATAGCCTTTGCCCATTTCGTACAGGAATTTATATGCCTCTCGACTATAGTATTAGCGAGCTCATGCAGTGGCAGACCACAAGCTCTACTCACAGCATTTAATACTCTTCGTAATATGATATAATCTTTTTTGAGCAGCCCAGAAAAGATTAATGGAGAGCAGTAGAGTACAGTAGGTAAAATACAGGAGTTTAAAAATTGCAAGACTAAAGGTTGGTTGATACCTGATTGTCTTAACTTTTTAATGTAGAAAGCAAGTAAGCCGAAAAAAAACAACACTCTGCAGACATTCTCCTCAAAATCTCATTTACATTTAGACTCGTTAGTTATGAAGTCCATTATAATTTGAATCTTTATATGGTAAACTCATTGTTACTGGATGATGAGAAACAATGATATTTAGTAAATGTTCTATGTTATTGCATATCATCATTTTTAAACCATTTAGTTCTTCTGTTCATTTACTATGATTTTTCTGTCTTACTTTACAGGTGGCCACAAACACGGAGACGAGTAAAAATGTTGGCCATGCAATTCTCTACGAAATTGTCTTAACTATTATGGGAATCGAATCAGATCCTGGACTACGAGTATGTCTTCGTAATTTCATAGTATTGAAAACAACCAGCTGATTGATTGATTGACCGACTAACTGACTGATTAGTCTAAACATAGAACTTTGCACAGATGTGCAGCAGCAGCAGCTCGAGTTGCCACTCTGCTTCCCTCCCTACCTCCATCCATGTAGTACACAAAGCAAGAGAGAGAGAGAGAGACAATAAACAGAATTGTAGGTGAAGGAAAAAGAATGGCAACATAGTAGAAGAGCAACAGAGTTTTACTGAATATGTCAAGTGACAAAGAGTAAATGCATTATCTTCTCTAACATCGAGCAGGATGATTTTGAGCCAGTTATACCGACAATTGTCATCAGCCTTCACTGGTCCTCACCATCCTGAGGACCCCAACCAACCGGTCTACACCACCTCCTTACGTGACTGGCTTAGACTAACTGTTGTTATGCATCTTGAATGACTGATGAAGACATGCTTCCGTTTGACTACCACTAGTTCTTTTCCAACCTGATCCATCCTATATCAGTTAGCTTTCCTTGTAGAGGAAGATAGGACAATTGATTGTTAGACAGGGATGCCTAGCACATGTCCTAACCATGTCACTTGAATGGATGTAACTGTTTGACAACCCTGTCAACAGATTGATTTTCCCTCTTCCTCCTAACCAAGCAAGGACTCACTCCATCGATGCCTCTTCAACTCACTATTGCTCACCTTATTACACCTACCACCTAACCTAACCTAACACAGGATGTAGATAGAGCGCAGACTAAACTCATGATGATGAAAGATAGTGGGCTGGCGTGCTTTTTCATGTCTTCCATTCTCAATAACGGCCAGCTAATCGAAAAGGCGAACGGATTGAACTGCTGAACAGTACACAGGGTATGCCCTTAGTCGACAACCAACCAACACCAGACAGTCAGCTGGATATCACCTTAGAAACAACCAGCTGCTAAAATGTTATTCTTCTACTGTCTTAGTTTTTTGCATAATAATTATTGTCGTGGAACGACTCCGTAATACCACTACCTAGTATTTTGCCTATCTACTGTCATTTGAAATGAGTCACCAAAATATGCTTACCGATTAGTTGCGTCTAAAGCTGATGCTTTTCCATCTGTTGTTTAACTGTGTTCTATCGTTGATACTCTAAAGAGTTTTCTGGTCGTTTGTTGAGCGAATATACATCATGCTTGGGAAATCGTTTAAATATACAACGACTGCTAACAGCTCTTCATCATTACTTTTGTTTATACACAACTTAATAGAAATGCTTGTTGATTAGTAAAGATGTCCGGGGGTGGGGTAGTAACATGTCGGTTGAACCCTGCCGGATTACTGTTTAGTCTAGAAGCATAACCACTATGTGTATGTGTGTGTGTGTGTGTTTGTTCCACGAGCATGAAATGTCATCCACCTATACGCATCTATCTCCTTGCATTTCATCTGGTAGAACTAGAAGCAGCTATAGGAGGCTATATGCTAGGACTACCAAATACAAAAACTCCACAATACCATATCTGGCACAGCTGTTATGTGATGAGAAATCCGTTAGGTATGACACGATTAACTTACTGCGGCACTCTAACAAATAGTCCCATTAGTTTTTGTTTTCCTTTCCTCGTTACTATTACACTGTTGTTCTCATCTTCTACCACACATCAACTTTATATTTCAAATCCTGTAGTGCATTGTTTGAAATGTAATACTCTACGCTGTTTTTTCTTAATTTTTAATTCTTATTTATTTTAATTATTTATAACTTATTTATTTTATTTATTTATCTTTGATTTTTAAAAATCTTATATAATTTATGAGGTAATTAGATGCAATATAATGTAATGTAACTTTATAGCCTCGTCGATTGATTTTCCCTCTTTGCCCAACACTCTACGCCTAACGTCAACAAGGTAAGTAATGTTGACGTTAGGCTTAGAGTGTTGGGCAAAGAGGGAAAATCAATCGACGAGGCTATAAAGTTACATAGACTAAGATGGCTAGGTCACGTGCTGCGCCTGCCTAACCACCGCCTCCCCCGACGGGCATTGCTAGCTGATATAGGTTCAGGTTGGAAAAGAGCCAGTGGTGGCCAAACAAAAACATGGCCTCATCAATCCATGAAATCCTTGACAATTAAACTGAGTCAGGTAGGGAGATGCAGACTCCCGGGTTGGGGCCCTCGGGACTCTAGGAATCAATGGCTGGAGACAATAGGTGACATGGCTCAAAATCGTTGTCAATGGCGCAGATGTATTCAGTCTCTGTAATCTTTCATATTCCTTTCTACCATTACCCATTCTGTTTCACTCTTATACTTGTCAAACTCTATTGATTCTCTTCACTCACCTTCTTGTCTACCTCTGTGTGCTATTTGGAAGGTTGCAACTCGAACTGCTGCACTTCGGTGCCAAGTTCTATGTTGAATCCAGACAGACAGATATACTGTAATGCACGCTGAAAATTCCATACCTGTACCACAAATACCGTTTGGAATAAAGCTGTTATTATTATTATTTCTTCAACTTACATCAGTTGTCGTTTCTCACAGCCAGCCAAATAATAACCGGATATCACGTCTGCGCCAAAGATGACGTAAGTTGGCAAATGCCACACGAACCTTTCGTATCTATGCTGAGATATGTCATCAGCAATCATTCCATTGGGGCTGGTGCAACTTCCCAAATAGGTGAAGTGGTCAACACCGTCGATCACTTAATTGATTGCTACTGTTATGTCGTATAGTTATCGACTAAAAATTCAGCCTCCTTTTTTACAGAAGATTCCTGCATTAAATTTTGTTAGTTGTAAACAAAAACACTACATTTTAGCAGCAAAGTTCTTCTTAATGAGTTTACTAAGTTGTTCATTTTTATTTATTTATTTATTTTTTGTTAAAGGTCCTCGCTGTCAACATTTTGGGTCGATTTCTGCTGAACACAGACAAAGATATACGTTATGTAGCACTCAACACTTTGCTGCGAGTTGTTCATGCTGACTCTAAAGCCGTACAAAGACACAGGTTGACAATCCTGGACTGTTTAAAGGATCCTGATGTATCAATTCAAAGGTTTGTTAGTAAACTATAATAAGCAATACTATGAATGGAAGTGCAATGCTTTTTAAAATAAAAATTATTTTCACTTCCAAGATATTTATCATTAATTTTCCTGATTGCAGTAGATTGGATAGTGCGACAGACAGCGGACAATGAGGAAATAGGCATAAAATGGACCCACACAAAAAGAGACTTGGAGGATCTGGACTTCTCCCGCGATGATATATATCTGACTTCCCACAAACTGGGAGATATGCAAGTGACAAGCAACAAGTTGGCAGAAGAAACATCCAGAGAAGATAGGAATTCAGGCGAACATAGAGAAAACCGATGTGGTGATGAAGATTCCTGGCCAACGGCAACAACAACAGACAGCGGTCAGCATAAATGGGAGGAACCTGAAAGATACAACCTCCTTTACCTACCTACCTACTTACCTGGGAAGCATCGTTTCAACTACAGGAGGAACTGACGAGGATATCAAAGCAAGGACAAGCGCTCATTACTCTCAAGTCTGTTTGGGGGTCAACAGCACTCAGCATAAAAAATAAGGTCCGAATTTTCAACTCCAATGTGAAGTCAGTGCTACTTTACGGATCAAAGACTTGGCGCGTCATAAGGTTTGTAGTCTATTTGAGCACCTCAAATAGACTACAGACCTTCATCAACAGCTGTCTTCGCTCAATACTCAAGATCAGATGGCCGGCCAGAAAAGATCAGCAACAGGGATCTCTGGCAATGAGCGAACCAACCAGGAACCGATTGTGAAACAAATAAGCAAGAAGAAGTAGAGGTGGATTTACCATGCTCTGAGGAAACCATCAAGTGACATCACTAGACAAGCCATCGCTCGAGTGGAACCCGAAAGGGAGGTGGCGAGTTGGTCGTCAATGCAAGGGTGACTTGGAGGAGGTCATGTGAAGAGGAGATGAAAGCGTGTAGGCAGATTTGGAGCCAGGTGAAAACTCTAGCACAGGACCGAACGTAATGGAGACGCGCGGCTGAAGCCCTATGTTCCTCTAGGAATTAAAGGAAGCAATAATAGTAATAATAATAGTAGTATTTATTACGGCGGTTTTACTGTTATCTTTGAGACGAATTAATTAGTCAGTCAGCATAAAAGGTATTCAGCCTGCTTACTTTCTGTTCTTTTCAGTCGAGATAGAATTTTCTCTTCTTAAACCAGTTTTGATTTGTATTTTCGTCTGTAACTTTGGAGTGATGACCGTGTTTTACCCGGAGTCCAAATTATCACACACACACACACTTAATATTTTCACTTTATGGATTTCGCAGACGATATATGTCTAATGTCACACAAACTCGAAGACTTGCAAGCGAAAACCAACAAACTGGCTGAAGAGGTTAGCAGCGAAAACACGACTGCAGGTGAACAAAGAGAGAAGATGGAGGTGATGAAGATAGCCAACGGACCGTGACAGCAACAACGGCGATAACCAGCACCAATCACCATCAACGGGAGAGATTGCCTCCTTCACTTATCTGGCTAGGAAGCGTCGTTTCAACTAACAAACGGGACGGATAAAGATGTCAAAGCCAGTTAGAATTGGAAAGGCAAGATACGCCTTCATCAACCTAAAGCCAGTTGGGAAATCTTTTGGCGCTCAGCGTAAGGAAGAAGATTCGGATTTTCAACACTAATGTGAAGTCGGTTCTTCTATTATATGGGTCAGAAACTTGCACTGCGTGTCACGGAAAGGATTTCCAACAGGTTGCAGAAAACAGCATAAAATTGAGATGTGCTGTTGAAGCCTTATGTTCCTACCGAAACCCAAAGAAATATTATTAATATTTTATATTATTTCTGTCCTCTTGGTTTCGAACTGGAACAAGGGGCTTCAACAACACATCTCCATCTTATTCTATTTTCTTCTGTCCTCTTTAGCTGGGCTTATGGTTGCCCATAATCTCTCATCTCCTCATTGCACGATTTCCTCTACATCACCCTCGAAGCAACGACCCACTCATTGCTACCCATTCGGGTTCCACGAGATCGATGGTCTGACGTGTGATGTGTGTAATTCGAAGGTCTCCACAGCGTGTACTCAACCCACCTCCATTTTCTTCCAGATATTTTGTGGAACGATAAGTAATTAGTTAGGTTGTTCCCATAATTTCTTGTTGGTGATTTTTTTTCACCAGCTGTTGATAAAAGTCTGCAGTAGGCTGTTCGAATTGCTTTTTGTAATGCGCCCGTGTAGAAGAACTGACACACAGCATTGGTGTTGAAAAGCGGAATCTTGTTCTTTATCCCGAACGAAAATATCCAAACTGATTTCCGAGAGATGAAGATTTGTCTTACCTTTCCGATTCCGGTTTTGACTTCTTCATCCTTTCCACCTGCGGCGGTTGAAACGATTCTGTCTGGGTAAGTGAGGGAAGGAAGTTCTTTCAAATTTCTTCCATTGATCTATAGTGATTGGTGTTGTTTGTTGTTGCTATAGGTGGATGGTTATCATCATCACCTCCGTCTCCATCTTCTCCACGTTCACTTGAAGTCTTGTCTTTGGTGTCAGCCTCTTCTGCCAGTTTGTTGATCTTCGTTGTTGTTGTTTGATCTTCGCCTGTAAGTCCTCAAGTGTGCGTGACTGCAATAGGCTTCGGCTGCTGTTGGTAACATAATAATAATGGTTGTTATGTGGATGACAAAACCGGAGTAGATTACTGACTCTCCGGTGGACAGTTTCAATAGTCCACACGCATTCCATTTGTCCTCGCAGATCCCGAACACTTCCATACCGTATGTTTTCATTTCTTTGCTTACCTTTGGGCAGCCTTCCCAGCCTCGTACATTGTACGTACATTCCACGTCCCCCATTCTTATTCTTGCTTTCATCGGAAGAAGACGCATCGACTGACTGACTAACTTCCCGAAAGCTGGCTTTTACCAGCCTACTGTGTCATTTCGCCTCTTCTATTCCAGAGAAGAATAAGTATTTAAAAAAAAAGTATTTTTTGTATTTGCAATATTTTTCTTGTGCTTTAAAGTTTCTGTAGCGGTTTGATTGGTTTTCTGGTGTTGTGGGATTGCAATCCCCACGCCCTACCCTACCCCCTTCCCCTGGGCATGGAACCGGCTAGTGGTCCAGCGAGTTAGTAAGATAGGCAAGGTTCCAAGGAAATAATAATCTAACTTCATGTTATCATGTTGACTGATACTGTTATTTCTCTTTTTTTTTGGTACGAAAAACAAATACTCTGATGATAGACGTGCCATCGACTTGTGCTTTGCTTTAACAAACCACACAAATGTTTGTGCAATGGTCAAAGAGCTCTTGCTTTACCTGGAGCGTTGTGATAATGAATTCAAAGGGGATGTCTGTTCGAACATTTCAATTGCAGCGGAGAAATATGCTCCTAACAAGAAATGGCATACTGATACTATGATGAAGCTACTGACCACTGTGAGTTTTCAGTTGAAACTTTTTTGTTGTTGTTGTTTTTTTGTAATTATCATTTATTAGTCACTGTCATTGTTACATGACATGAAATAACAGGCATTGTTCAGTTTTGGTGTTTGTTCAGTTTACTGTTCACTACTGCTAATATGCTTTTAAGCTCTTACAATCCATGAATTTATATTTCTTTAGAAACTGAGTTTCAACATAGAACTACTTGACAGAGAAGTGCAACAGTCTAAGTCGCCGCTACTCTCCATGTAGCACGCAAATAGAGAAACAAAGAGATAAGCTGAAATGTGTGTGCGTGTGTGTGGGAGGGGGGGGGAAGGATAGTAGCATGGAAAAGCGTGAAGCTTTAGGGGATATCAGATATTACAGATGGTGGTTGCATCTGAACAATTCACAACTATTTTGAGTCATATCACTAATAGCCTACAGCCATTGGTCCTTAGCATCTCGAGGAACCCAATCAGGCAATCTACACACCTCCATGGACAGCTCGAAATAACTGTCAAAAGCTTTATGAACTGATTCCAGGTTTTGGTGTGGTAACTTCTAACTCTTTTCCAACCTTATCTTGTGCCGGCTAATAACATTCCTTGTCGGGGGAAAGTCGATGGCTGGCGATGTCGTAACGCATGACCGATTGGATTCACCTACACGACCTCATCGATTAACTTCTTTTACTTACCTAACACTATGTCTATCTTGAGTATTACTCACCATATTATACCACTTGACATGAGGGTGGTGTCTATAAACCGCTAGTCTTACTCGTGCAATACGACGATGTAATGGCATACAAAAAATAGAGCTATTGTCAACCAAGTGAATTTTATCTTCTATAATTAGTCCTCACAAAAATAGTCGTTAAGCATAATAAGCCAAAGTATTGGGAAAATATACAATGTATTCTGGCGGTTTATTCGAATATTATTCACACACTACCACCATACGCTTAGACTAATGTATCTTGTAACGAACTTATCCAACACTACTACTTCATGAACAGGTTTGACTACACTATGTTAAATTTACCATTATAACTGCTTATCAAGCTTTGCATTCCCAAGTCCACTGTTATTGTGCTTCTCTTTTAGGCTGGAAACTTTGCACGTGACGATGTTGTCTCCTCTTTGGTTAGCCTAATCTCCCAGAATCCTAATCTACATGCGTATGCTACTGTCCAGCTGTTCACCGCTATGAAGGAGGCTATGTCCCAGCAACCTTTAGTTCAGGTTAGTTAGTTGTAACAGTATTTGTTGTTGTTGTTAAAAATATTAATATGCGGATGGCGAAAGTGATGCAAGAGTCATTATTATGCCGGGCTTAGTTTCCTCGGGCTATTCTAACTGTTATACCATGTTTTCTTTTTAGGTCTCAGTGATGTATTTATGTATTTTGAATTTGAGATTTTCCCGTCTATTGATTGGTTGGACCGAAGTGCTCGGTCTCAGGTTAACATGTCTGTCGGCTTCTTGTGCAGAGATGCTTCGACGATGTCTAGGACGAAATGCGCATCGTGGGATTCCACTGCTAGTCACCATCCACAAATTAAATTCAGTGACGTGTATGTTTTACTTTGATATTTAGTATATGAACGTATGCTAGACATAGCAGTAATTTGAAGAAGAGAACATCTCTCATTTTTTTACCTATCATCTAATTTTTTAAATAAAATCTTGCCTTAAAACAAACGACAAAGGTTAATAATCGGCAGTACGCGCACCTACTGCCGGGGTTCGAACCCCCCAAGACCTTCCGTTTACAAGGCCAGCTGGCTCGTATATCCATTCAGCAGCCAGTGGCAGCCGATTCAATTGCCAGTGCATGAATTCTAACTTCTACCAATTTGTGACTTTAGCGCGCCCAGCAACCAATATCATCGGTGGGAAATCCATCCCCACTCCCGACTAGATGGACCACCTCACTGGTTTTGCAGTGGTTTTCCAACTGATATCAATCTGTGGTCAAACTCGAAAAATAAATCTAATCCTTACAAATCAACTGTTGAAAAGGTCAATAAAGCAGAATTTAGTGAATTCACCGAATTTCAGTAGAATTACTCTTCCTTAGATGGATGGATAAATACACTGAATTAAACAGTTATTTAATGAAATCAAAACACGTATATCAGCGAAGAGTCTCTTTTCGGCGACGAATTCATTTTCTTAGCTGTACAATCACAAATATATACGTGTTATTTTATATGTATGTGTACATTAAGTTTGTCAAACAAAAATAGACAATTGGTTAGGGTTATTTTAACTAAACAAGTGAAGATTGGTAATACAAGTCAAGAAAATTAGGTGTTAATGAAATTAGGGTAGTAACAAAAGTGATGAGTTGTCACAAACACTTGTTAAAAAGGAAGTTACGTAATAATATGAATAGTTTGATGAGTGAGTTTTACTCGGGATGTACATAGGAACAAAGTAGATAATAAGAAATTACATAAGAGTTCTAGATGAATACAAGAATTATAAACAATTAAAGAACAGGCAAAGAAACAAAATCAAGTCATCAAAATAAAAAAGATCATATCAAAAAAAGAAAAAAGGTTATTACCATGACAGTAGAAGTGGTTGAGTAATCCTCTTTGTATGCACAGCTCCGATTTTTCTATGTGAATGACCAGAGCTTCAGCGATACAAAGAAGACGAAGCCGTATTTCCTATGGTAGGTTATTGCTGATTCTGTAGATTACTTTGACGGAGGCGTTTGTTGAAATGGAATGATCAGTGTTAACCAGGTGTTCAATTATCGCACTCCTTATTGCACCACTATTGCCTTTTCGTAACCATGCTGGCTGGATAGTGTTCTTGAATCCTCTTGGACAGGGTGCGCGTCGAACGACCGATGCACCTGGCTCCACAGCAGCAGGTGAAATGATATATGCACATAGAATTGGCCAGATGCGGGATCTTGTCCTTGAGGCTCCTGCAGATCAGTGGGCGACTGGAGAACACTATTCTTAGCGTTGCTGCAAAGAATGTTCTTCTCAGAGATGAGAATATCGCTTGCTAAATCTCCCTTCAAAATCCAAGTTTATGTAGGCGCAATTAAAGTTTCGTTTCTCTGAATTTTTTGGGTTTGATATTTTTGTCGATGAATCTTATTGGGTATCCATTTTGGATGAAGATTTCTCTTAAAATGTCTAATTCTGTTTCCAGAACTTTGGAATTACAGATGCGTTGGATGTGGGTGGCAAGTGATTGAATTAAATTCCCCTTTTGTTGAATTGGGTACCAAGCTAAGAAAATAAATTCGCCGAAAAGTGACTCTTCGCTGATCTACGTGTTTTGTTTTCATTAATGCCTGGATGGAGATTATCCATGAATTGAAACAGTTATTTATCAATGATTGATGTAATTAAACCGTAATATATCTGAATTTTATATCCCTGTATTTAGAGTATCCAGCTGAGGAAGAGTTCTACCAAAATTTGATGAATATTTACTAAATCCTGCTTTATTAACAACTTTTGTGGCTTTTTTTTAAATTCGTATTGGGAACATAAATGTTTCCAAATCATGCTTTTTTGAGTGTGCGCATTATTTGTGGTGTACATGTAGGTTAGATGTATAAATGACCCTTCCCGTTTATCACCCAATATACCTATATATACTATGGTGCCACTGGATACTGTGGTTATCGAGTAGACGTAAAGAGGGATCGTGCTTACAATTTTCAACAAGTTTTCAGTATCTTTATGCGTTGTTGTTTTAGTAGTGGAATTACTCTTCAACCACTCCTCACGGGCTCCAGGATTCGACTCCCTGCTGAACTAGTAGATCGGGAATAGTCAGATTGTCAGAACATGAGAATTTAACTAGGGTTAGAATGATTGATCCCGCGAAGATATGTAATATGGAAAAAAGTTCAGCAATTGCACTGCATGCATTAACACTGTGAGACTTTACCCACAATGGAGTTACACTTCTAACCTCATTTAGCCGGTCGGTGGTAGCAAGCTGGCTTGTGGTAGGGAGGGAAAAGGTTGAAAGTGACTGAGGTTGGCCACCGCACCCCGTAAAATAATAAAACAACCACTGCTGCCACTGAAACTTCACACCTAAAGCTTGCCTAGATCTCTGTGTTGTTCTACTCGGAACGCAAATAGATAAAATAAGCAACAAAACAAGCGAAAAAAAAAATTCAAAATCCTAAAATTCTTAATCAATTAAAAAAATGTGAAGACTCTTCAACTCATTAATCTCGTCTATGAGAAGAATAAAAAGATACTGTTGTATTTTTTCACATTTAGGCTAACAAAAAAAACTCCTATATATTTTGTAAAACACGTCGTCTTCTTTAGGTGGCATGTTGGACTGTTGGCGAGTATGGCGACCTGCTTGTCTCACCGGAACCGTCTGAAGATAATCCACATCCAATAACAGAGGCGGAATTGATCAGTGTGTTACAACGCGCCCTTGTCAGTGTAACGTCGACAATTCAAACTAAACAGATGATCATCAATGCACTGGTCAAGTTGACTACACGTCTTAGTCCAGCATATTTAGAGTAAGTAAAAGCGAGAGCTGTTGCATAGTGTGTTTTGTGTGTTTTTGTATGTTAATCGAAGTTGCACAAATTATTTTAATTCTGTATGCAAATTTTGTCCTTGTTAGTAGTAGTAGTAACATAACACTACACTTGGCATAGGAACACGCTATACACACATTAAGTATTTTATTATAAATTATGCATAACAGTGGCGGGAGGTGAGTGTTGCTCTATGCTCTTAGTAGAGTGGTCTCTCTTTCCAGAAGCTGTTGATTATGTATGAATGGATTATTTATGCCTCAACGTGGTAATATATGATGCTTTCGACCATCAGCTTTCTTGCACTTGATGTTGCTATTTAATGTTGGGTGTTGAAATTCGTGGTTTCATCTCTCTCTCTCTCTCTCTCTCTCTCTCTAGTTTTAACGAGCATTATCACTGACCACACATAGAACTGCTGCATAAGCATGCAAATTGAGGTGCAAAATTTTCTGTTCAAACACCTTTTCATCAATCTATTATTGTCATCATCAGAGAGCATCATAGCTGCTGAACCGCTGGATGATACTGGGGTGGTGGTTTCGTGTGCACTTCGGATTGTGAGGGCGATTGTTACTGTTACCGGCTGCCCACACCGTGGAAGTTGGTTGCGTGACCGCAGAGCCCAGGGGACAACTGCTTGAGCCAGGCCGGTCACACGCGGCCTGTATCTCTTTGTTCTTTTTTGTTTGGCGTGTCTCAGTAGCATATTTATCACCCCTGCCCTGTGACATGGCAGCAAGAAAGCGCGGTCGTTGTTAATCCGGGCCCCGACCGATCCAGCATGATATTTTCTGAATTTGTTTGAATCATGGTATTGGATTGGATAGCTGCTTTTTGTCTAACCGCTATCCAAACAACCTTTGGGGTGGTGGGGGGAAGGATGGAAATATCTTCCGCCCTGTTGTTTCCAATTAGCATTTTAATGCCTCCAGATATATCCGTCATATTTGATTGAAACTGTTCATTCTATAATGGTGCTGAAATTTAGCATGTTATCATTACGAAACTAATCTCTCTGGCATCATAAGACTGAGAGAAATAAGCATTCTATCGTAGTTTGTTGGATCAGCGATATACGGTCGCGTCATTATCATGCTCAAGTAACAACTCTAGGTCCTGTTCGATATATCTTTTATTTTAATTCCACATAATAACGAAAGGGGGAGATTAAAGGTGACAATAATTTCCAACTCGATATGACTGTTTTAAGGCGTGAATATAGATTACAAGGGGCTTAGAAGGACAAACTTCCGCACATCACTACTTCAGTGTACACATATATCTGTTCACGTGCTCGTGTGGAGCTGGATGCATATATATTGTTCCATGCGTATCCTGTCAAAGTAAAGCAAAGTAAACAAAAATCTAGGATACGGGTGTGTTTCCGACTTATAAGTACTACAGAAGCCCTCGCCATATCCATCGAAAAACCGGAACTATGTGTTCAAAAGAAACCAGTTTGACCCCTGCATTCACCATAAATCTAGTTTGGTTTGACTCATTAGCTTTCTTTTCTTATTTGTTTTTTCAGTCCTTTGGGTTTTTTATTTTTAATTATAGCTTGATTCCACATCATATTTTAGGTGAAAGTATGGAATTTTCAGCATGTGATATCGCTAGCCCAAATTTTGCGGGCCGACCATTGATATCAGGTGTGCGTCGGCAGGGTGTCGAACCCCAAGCCATGTGTATAGTCGACAAGATTCCTAACCTCTGTGCCACTGACGCACAAAAAAAAGCCGACAACACCCTCTATTCTCAGCCGGTCACCCATGCAACTACTCACCGGGACCAACGTTGCTCAACTTCGGTGATCGGACGAGAACCAGTGCTTTCAACGTGGTATAAGAAGTATTATTTGAATTTGTCTCCATAGCCATCCCATTCACACCTAACGTGTTCGTTAAAAAGTTGTTTTACAAATAACGCAACTACTTTCTACGCCTCTGTAATCTGGTTTGTAAGCCCTTTGTTATCTATATTCACACCCTTGAACCTTCGTTATTATGTGGAATAAAATAATAAAAATAATTGCATCTATGTAAACTTATGTATATAAATGCGATTATACAGCTGCTTTTAGCAATAAAATCGCCGAAAAAAATATCAGTCTGCTGAACTTCTTGTTCTTTTCACTCCTGATGTGTACTTTCCACAAAATTCGATTTGGTTATTTGCTGTTGTCTTTTGGCTTTAAAGTGGATTCATCTACTCCTCTACAGATTCTGTTTTCGTCATTATATGTTCCAATATACCATAATTCATAACCTCCAATCTCAATTGCTGATTTTCTAAACTTTATTTTCTTATTTTTGTATACAGGAAGCTAAGAGAATTGATCAAATTTTACTCTACCAATGTTAACCTGGAGCTTCAACAACGTTCTGTTGAATACAATAAAATTTGTAGTCAACCTACAAATATTCGTAATGGTTTACTGGATTGTATGCCAGTAGTGTCGACAAAAGCATTGTCGGGAACCTCGAATCCAGACAGTGAAGGTCGGACAGTAGATGAAAATGACACTAATGGCGGGATTGGTGGTTTAAACTCAGGAAATGTAGAAGATTTATTGGTCAATGGATCATCGGCTCAAACTCAGTCGCTTACCATTTTTGATTTATTAGGTCCAGAAAATGAATCTGACTCTAAAAATGGTGAGTTTTGTCTCTAATTGTAAAGTGTATATGCATTTGATGTGTAATGCTGTGAGTTATTGTAAATCTATGGAGTTTGTCATAACTTTCGTTAATCTGAGACTTACATCGCCAGCGTCAACAAGCGACCAGTTGCTTTTCAATAATCACAACTTTGGGCATACTATTTGTTGCATAAGAGACAGATTCTAAATGTAGACACTAAAAGGGTTTTTTGCAGCCACGATTTGCCACTATGCATATGTAAACTGTTTTTTTTCTATGCTTTCTCTTGTCTTGTTTACCAGGAGCGACGAATACAACGGCAAATCCTTCTGCCAATAACACTCACTTGTTGGATCTGCTTGATGCATTCGCTCCATCTGGAGCTGTGGTACCGCAACACAACAATACACAAAGCATTCCTGGACTTCCAAACGATCTATTCAGTTCAAAAAATGGTTTTCCTGCTTCTACAATTCAGCCTGTTACTCGGACTTCTCTCTTAGACCTCAATTTTGTCAGCGACTCATGTGCTGCAGGTGTTACTAATCAGGGTTTGTTCACTTGGAATTTTTGGGATGTGTTTTTGTTCTTCTTGTTTTTGTCCTACTAATCATATATAGTAAGTCGTTGAGACTACTGATTGTCTGTGTGGATAAAAGTGGGGGCTTGATTGGCCAATTTGTTCAGTTTTCGAACTTTGTCTACCTTTCTCGCGTGATTGGTGCACTGTTGACAAAGACTTGCATTTTGAATAATAATTCAAATATTCAAGGTGATAAACAGTTTAATTTCGGGCAACTTATCTACTATTTCGTAGTGAATATGTACATATATACATTTCTCGGATTATACTCAGTCATCTTTTTCAGATGCTTTTTAGCCTAAATTATTGTAGGATGTTACAGGACTGGACTACACTGACTCCTATTTTGGAAATAGGGAGTAAAGTGGTAGAGCACGTTGACCGCTTCACTTATTTGGGAAATACCATCAGCCAGTGCCAACTGGTTGATCTCTGATGAAATCTCAGCACGGATACAGAGCGCTAGTTTGGCATATACCAGTTTACGCCATCTCTGGCGTAGACGTGATATCCGACTGGCTGCCGTCTGTCTGTTTTTGACACAGAACTTTGCACATATGTGCGGAAGTTCAAGTCGCCACACTCCCTCCATGTAGCACACAAAGCAAGAGAAGAAAGTACAAGAAAAGCATAATAGAGACAGTAAGCAGAGGTGTGAGACAAAGGAATGGTAATAAGGAAGAACAAAACAGTTTCATTGGAAATCATAAGTCACAAGGTGTGGATGCATCTGCACCAGCCATTGAGAACGATGAGTTTGAGCCATGTCACCAATTGTTTCCAACCACTGATTTTTACCGTCCCGAGGACCCCACCAGGAAGCCAGTCTACACCTTCCTACGTGGCTTAGACTAACTGTTGTAGATTTCATTGACTGGTGCCATGTTTTGGTTTGACCACCAACAGGTCTTTTCTAGTCTGACCCTATGTCAGCTAACATTGCTCGTCGAAGAAGGCTATGACTAGGCATACGTAACACATGTCCTAACCCTCTCAGTCTTTGTAGCTTCACGACTTCGTCGATTGATTTCCCCTGTTTACCTAGAACTCTACGCCTAACCTCAATATTTCTCACCTTATTATACTACTTCACATGGGAGATAGGGCGCAGGCACCTATGATCAAAGACAGCTAGCCAGCCTTTTCATGTCTTCCACTCTCAATGGCCAGGTCTCACACCTGGCCATGAAGGAGGACGGAGCGGACTGATGAGCAGTACACCCGCCCTTTGGTCGATAGTCGAACATCTCGTCTACGCCAGAGTCGGCGTAAACTGGCAAATGCGAAACGAGCCCCCTGTATCCGTACTCAGGTGAGATTTCGTCAGAGATCAACCCGTTGGCACTGGCTGATGGTACTTCCCAAATAAGTGAAGCGGTCAACGTGCCCCACCAACCACTTCACTTCCTATTTTTAAACTAGGTGTCGATGTAGTCCAGTCCTGTAACATCATCTTGCATTTGGCGGGAGCGAATCGCATGCCAAACATTCGTAGATTGCAGCTCAAGGTGTTTAGAAGACTGCATTTCGTCAGCGTCTTCGCCTAGAAGGACTATATGCTCTGCATATTCCAAGTCAACGAGATTATTCCCTCCCCGGTGGCAAGTCAATCCCTGAGTCGTTGAAGTCACTTAGGGTTAAGTCCATTAACACATCTATGATGAAGTTGAATAGAAAGGGGGATAATGGGCATCCTTGACGGACACCACTGGTCGTCATCAGTTCAGATGACAGCTCGCCGTAAGCCCTCACCTGGCTGATGCATGAGTACGAGTAGAGTACCTTAATCAATGCAATATGTTTTCTCGGAATTCCTTTTACAGCCAAGCATCTCCAGAGAACTTCTCGATCGACAGAGTCGAATGCTGCCTTTAGGTCAAGAAATATAATGACTGTTGGACGCTGGTAGGAATTCCTATGTTCTAGAATCTGTCAGAGGGTGAAGATATGATCAATACACCCTCTTCCTGGTCTAAAGCCTGCCTGGCTCTCTCGTGTTTGTGCCTTCCGAGCACCACTCAGTCTACGCATGATTATTGAGCCTAGGACTTTAGATACTATATTAGTCAAGCTAATCCCTCTGTGATTATCACAGAAAGACTTGTCTCTCTTCTTGTATATGGGGATAATCAGTGACTTACACCAACCCGGTGGGACTTCCTCTGATTTCCAGACGCTGCCCAGAACCTCAGTTAGTGCAGACAGTAAGCTGTCTCCACCGTACTTAAATACCTCTGGAGTGATTCCATCAGGTCCCGCTGCTTTGCCTTGTTTCAGATTGATGACAGCTTGAGTAACCTCAGTTAAGGATGGAGGACCTCTGTCTATATCCTATTCAGGGAGGTGTTGGTTGTTCGGCAGGTTGATCGTGGCTGTGGGCCAATTAAACTGCTCCTCATAATGCTCTTTCCAGCGTTCCAGTCGTCTATCCTGGTAGTACACACACACACGCAACAACATAATTTTAAGGATTTATCACCATTGCATATAATGTAACGTGCTAACTATATGCTGTCTTTTGTATTTTATTGTTTAATAAGTCTTTTGTTTTAAACAACTATTACATATTCAGTTACACAGGTTCCTCCCCTCACCATCTACAATACCGATGAGGTGAAAATTGTGTTCAACTTCGAATCTCCTTCATCTGCACCAGATGGGCGTTGTGTGATTTCGATTCAGTTGGTGGCAACCACTACAAGCATCCACCCTGTTAGCTCTTTTGAATTTCAGGCTGCAGTACCTAAATCCTGTCAATTGCAACTGCTTCCACCGTCGTCTAATGTTATACTGCCTGGTCCAAATTCCGTACCGCTGACGCAAATGTTGAAGGTCACTGTTCCACCGAAGGTAAACTGTTTGCTGCTACGTCAGTGTTTTCCCTACTTTTGCATAAAAAATTGTCTTGTATCTTTAGAGCTAGTATTTGCTAATTAATCTTATGTTTGAACTATATAGGCAAACATACTTACACTTCCTCCGTTGTAGATTTTGTTAGCCCTTTAGCTTATTTGGGATTGTTAATCTCGACGTTAAAAAAATAGTACTCCGTAAGCTGTCATTCTCTGCTACCAAGTGAACATATAAAGTTTGCCATTGTGAACATACGCATTCTCGTCGTGATCTGTCATCTTAGTAATTCATTATAATGAATGAAAAGTTACTTTTAGTAAGCTCTGTAGTGATCTTGAAGAGTTTCAAGCTGGAACACGGATTGATATGAGTTAAAGAACCATTGAGTGCGTCGGTGGCACAGCGGTTAGGACGCTAGCCGACCATGCACATGGTCCGGAGTTCGATCCCCGGCAGACGAACTCCTTTACCTCGCTTAGCCAGAAATAATGCCGGTAAAGAGGAAAGTTTGGGCATGAGGGCTACCAACCACATCCTGTAAAAATAAACACTGCTACAGAAACTCCAAGTCTGTAGCTTGAAGCCCTGTGTTCCACTGAGAACGTGAAGGGAAAAAAAGAACCATTGAAAATCATCAGGGAGTACTGGACAGCTGTTTCGTTCTAGTTTAGGACTCGTCGGCAGTACTCAACCACCATTGGGGGGTTGAATCTAGGACCTTCCGGTTACAAGGAAAGCTCGTAGACTATTCAGTCACTGGGTGTGAGAGCCAACTCACTGACCAGTCCATGAACTCTAACTTCCACTAATTCGTGATTTTAGCGCGACTGGCATTAACCAATGTCATCGGCCTATATTTGTCCTCACTCCCAATCGGATGGACTTCGATGGTCTGGTCACGATTGTTCACTAGAACTCCAGACAACCTCATTCTATGGCGGCCAGAAAGCATCAGATTACTTTTCAAGTGTGTTGGTTTGCAAGAATTTGATTTGATAGGTTACAGGATTTCATTATGTCCTGTGATATCGGTTAGAGAATCATTCACTGGATGGAAAACCAACTAGCTGAGGAGTACTGCCAGACAGCTGTTTAACTCGCCTAGTTCAGGTTTAACTTGTAGCTTACTACTATCTTGTATATTTCTCCCACTGATTTATGACAATTTTTGATGATTAATTGTTGTGTATAGGTTCGCCCGCGCATGAAGATTCGTCTACAGTTTATCAAAAATGGTGAATCTAAAAACGAAGAATTCCAAGTAGATGATTTTCCTACTGTTCTCTGGCAATACTGATATTAAATTATATATAATATTCTGTGACTTTTGAGCAGAAAATTCATTCCTTAATTTAAAAAAAATCTAACCCACCGTATATTTGGCGGGGGGTTAGTTTAGTTCTGGCTGTGCTTAATTAAAATTGTATGTTTATGCACAAACTTTATTTTAAAAAGAAGACAAACAAACACAATTTTTCTCCCTTGTTTGTATAAAAAATGATGCTGTGTATACTTAAAAGACTGTTTATTTAACAACAACAATAACAAAAAAAAATAGCCACAGTGCCTCCATTCTCACTCCCTTCCTTTTATCACTTCTGTAATTGCCTCACTGCATCGTCTCCTTAATCTAATCTACTTTTTTTCTTCCACATCACATGTGATCATGATTTCCCGGCACCCACTCCCCTCCCCACGTTCTAAGTGGTGTGGAGAAGCCCTACGTTTATTCACATTTGTCGTTTATATATGTGAAGATTGTTTACTCCGCTTCATTTTTTCACTGACTCTCTCTCTCTCCCTTTGTCTCCCCCTCTTTCATATAATAAGTAATTGTTTCCGGGGCTTATTTTTTGTTAATTTCTTTCGTCAAGATCATGTCTGTTCTGATCATGTTTTGTGGTTTTCGGTTTCCTTTTTTTGTTCTTTTGCTCAACATTTTCAAATTTATATTTTGGTAGTGACACGACACTTGGTGTGTCTGTGAGTTTACGTATATGCGTGTACAAATCTCATCTCAACATTCCTGGTGGTAGACTTGAGGTCGTGGGTGTGTGTGTGTGACTGAGATTTCTCACTTGACTGACTGACCGGCAGCCTAATTTTTCTGTTTCTGTGTTCATTATCAGTCAGAGTGACTGTTTAGGGCGTGTGTGTTTGTGTGTGTCTTCTGAAGCGGAGGGACTTTTCCACCTAAGGTGATTATGATGCTTCCCCAATATACATATATATTATGCACCGTTGACATTTTTCCAAGCTTCCATGATCTAATTTTTGTTTTGTAGTGATGGTATCATTCTGTATGTAAGGTATTTGCTTTGTTTGTTCGTCCGGTAACCTGTCGATTGCACACACACACACACACACACACAAATGATAGCAGTATGCGGCGCAATAATCAACCAATCAAGGGGCTAGATTGCGAGTGATCTCTCTTATTTGGTATTTAGGTATTTTAGTTGGTCCTACTGATGGTAATATTACTGTTTTTGTTTGCATACATATATAATATCTGATTTCTATTCTTCCAGTTACTTTTTTTCTTCTCTATTATTATTACTACTATTGATATTATTCACAGTATGCTTATTTAAGTCACGTGTCTGTTCTCACTGTCTTTATTAAAAAAAAGAGCACTTTTAGTAATAAATTATACAATGTGATAGTTATTTATTTATTTATATGTAAAGGTGGTTTTAATCATTGACTTTCTTTTATTATTTGTCTTACAAAATACATCTATGTGTGTATGTGGGAGCAGTGTCATTATACATATATACTGTACTTTATGTTTTTTATCTATTTATTTATTTGAGAATCCCTATTTCCTTCACATTCGGGTGGTGAGAGGGCAAAAGTGGATGCTAGCCATCTCCCCTAGACTGTCCATTGGATGATAGTCTAGGGGAGATAGCTAAACCCTGATTCCAAACCTCCGACGACTGGTCTATGAAGCTCACCGGCAGACGTATGGACAAAGGGCTTATTGGATGCCCTGGATGTCTGGCCCCATTCAAAAAGGCGTATGAACCGGACTCCGGTCACCGGGTGGCTTCCAATGGATAGTGGACTTCCTACTCCACTCCTACCGCCTTGTAGGTCACACTTGGTTGTGTAGAGGCTAGAGCTGCACTCTCAAACAAAAGGCCGAGCGATGTTGGGGACATCACTCGTACCTAATTCCTATGAAACTTCAAGAACTCTCTTACAAACAACTATCGCCGCGCCTGGGCAGCGATGATTCGAGATGTTCATGAAGCCGGCTCATTCTCCCGTAGGAGATAGCCGAAGTAAAGTAAAAAAGTAAGGTGGTTCTTTGGAGCAATCAGTTGACCCTTACTACTGTGATTAGTAATAATAATAATAATAGTAGTAATAGTGGTCCATGAAAACTATTCATTGCCTTTTCTATCTACCTTCATACATTAGACAGGCACATGTATGTAGCGGTGTTTATTGTGTACAATCTTAGACACGGATTCATCAGTAGTGATTTATTAGCTAGCTTAACTAGTAATTCCATATTGGTTTGTTTATGAGATGTATCACACAGTGAAACAGTATTGTATACTGGATGACGTTTCGAACACAATTTATTGTTCATAATCATATCAATCATCATATCAGCTTAACTAGGTTTTTCAACAGAGAACTTTACCCAAAGGTGAAGTAGTTCTAGATGCTATGTTCCTTGTAGCCCACAAAGGTGTGGAGCAACAAAAGGATTCCAAAGTACTTATAAAATAAGCAGAAATGTGAGGGAGAAAGAATAGTTACATTGGAGAAACTGGAAGGTGTTAAATAGGTCTACGAGATTACGAAGAATGAGTGCAGAATTGATCCGTTGAGAACGATTTAGAGTCATATTACCAGTAGCCTCCAGCCATTGGGTTGTTAGCATCCTGAGGACGCCAAACAGGCAGTCAACAACCCCCTATATGCAGTTCATACTAGGTAGTCGAAGATTTCATAGACTGTGATGCCGCCAGGTATTGGTTCGATGACTTCTAACTCCTTTTCCAACCTACTCTTATATCGGCTAACATTCCAGGCTTCGTCGATATCAGTTTGGGTAATAAAATTGGGAAATATTACTAGCCCTCATACAATGGTTGTCTGGCTCATACATAGCTTGAAAAATCCGTCCCAGATTGCTCAATACCAATGACAGTCAAACCGAAGAATGCTTTTTGACTTGACACTAGTAACTAGTGTGATGCGTCTAGTCCTCTGATTATTGGTGTAGACTAAATTCTATCAGTCAGGTTGACGAGTGCCGACTAGCACGAAACCTAGGTCCAAGGCTTCCTGGTAGCCGATTGCCTCCAACCATCTAATACCATCGAAGAATGCTTTTTATTGATCTATCCGGTAATCCGTTGACAAAAGTTCCTTTACATGAATTTAACATCAAAACTGTTTCCATCAACAAGTTTTAATAAATTTCCCGGGGGGGGGGGTGCTTTTTAGATTGAATGACAAGTACAGAACACTCATAGGAGGAGACACCTTGTGTAGTTCACAACTGATCAGAGTCGCTCCAAATCATATTTCTTTAAGTAGAAAATAAAAAAAACAGTCCTATTTTCTAGGCGTACTATTCACTGGAGGACAGGAGTAAGTGTCAGTTCATTTGGAAATATGTCAGAAAGCTCTTTTTATTTTTCACCTATATTGACTAATACTTCACAAATGTGCACATTGATTGACTTTGATAAAATACACAGTCGTTTGGATAATCATTAGGAATGTGAATAACGAATGAAACAGTTAACTTTTCGAATCGATATACTCTTTTTTGGAGGTTTAAGTGAGTCATATTATATATATATATATATATATATATATATATATATATATATATAGACTGGTCTGTGACTTAATTCTGGTACATCCGCAAAAGAAACATTTGACTCTTGCCAATTTGCCATAAGGCTTGACTCAGACATGATGTTTACTGATATGTGTATATGTACGTGAAATGGTGTGAAATATGATAACATAGAATTGAATATTGCAACGAAAAATTGATTTAGAATTACAAGTGGGACAAGTGAAATAATACCGGGGACAGTTTTCAAAATGAGAATAATAATAATAATAGTAACAATCGGCGTAATAACGGTAGGGACGAAAATATGAATGGGGATTATCATACTTTAGCCTAGATGGATAAAGACCATGTGAGTTGTGAAGGGATTGAACAAACTATTTCTGTATACAGAGATCTGGCTTTTCTATTTCGATGGCCAAAGCTTCAGCAGTACAGATCAGTTGGATACATGGTGATTTGGACAGATGACTTTAAAGGCTGAAGCTGTAGAGAAAGGGTGATCATTATCGGCCAGATGTTCAATCATTGCGCTTCTTATAGCTCCAACTCCTGGAGAAAGCCCTAGTTGGACGATCGATATACCTAGCTCCACACAAGCAGGTGAACTGATAAACACATATAAAGTTGGTCAACTGTGGGATCTTGTCTTTCAGGTTATTGAGCAGTAATGGTTGACCAGAAATCGCTATTTTTCAACTATGCAGTATGGAATGTCTTTTTCATGGCCTGGGAGATCCTTCTTTTAATGATGTCGGCAGCTAAGTCACCTTTGAATTTCAAGCTCGTGTACAGCATTTTCTTGGTTACGGACGTTAAATCACATTTCATAGGTTTTGTATGTTATTGTCTATAAAACGTGGTGGAAGTCCATTTTCTACTAGGATTTTTCTCAAAAGATTTAACTCTCTCCACAGTATCAGGAATACATATACGCTGAATGCGAATGGCAAGTGATCGGATCAGGTTTCGTTTTCGACCAATGGGTATCGAGCTGCAGAAATTTGTCAGTTGACCATTGCATGACAGCTTTCGATAAATTGATCTCTTCAGAGTTTCATCGGTCCTCCGAGATAAGTTCACATCGAGGAAGTTAATGCTAGACTTCTTCTCCATTTCGAGTGTGAATTCTGTCGCTAGATAGCAAACATTAAATGCATTTAATATATTACTTAAATTATAATCATTATTACAAATAATAAAGATGTCATCAACACACCTTTTATACAACTTAAAATCTTTGAATTGTCGATTTCAACTGACCATTTTCCAGACTGGACATAAAACAGTCTGCAAGGAGAGGACACAAGGGAGAGAACCTATTGCAATACCAAAGAGAGTTGGAGGTGGTGAAATTCATCTGTGAAACAATTTAATCAACCCCGTTGTTCTGAGCAAGACAGAGAAGCTCAAATCGTTTGGCTGGAGTTTTCGGTTTCCCAAAGAATCAGTGATTGAAGACTTGATGAACTGCCTGAAAAATGCTTTATTGGGCTTATTATTATTGTTTGCTTCACCCGTGATAGTTTAATCTAGCATCACTACACTTCCATTGTCTTGTGTGTTTCTTCAGATTGTGTCACTATGAGCACGTGCACTGAGCACGAAGATCTATGCTTACCAGCCAGTCTTTTTGTTCTGTGTGTGTGTGTGTGTGTGATCTTATCGCTGTGAATGGTTGTTTGGTACATTCCTATCACGTGAAGTATTAGTTCTCCTCTGGATCGCTAACACTCGCTTGTTTTACTTCTAATCTCTTGTATAGTTTTCAGCTTTTTCCTGACTAATCAGTCCCTCTCTCCCCCTCTCTTTACTGCAATATTACGAGGAGAAAAAAAAATGAAATCTGTGTTATCAAACATAATCGAAAGATACAGTTACGTTTGGAAGTGAGAAGAAATGCACTCAAGGAAAATAGTGTATGGACATAAAGGAGGACGGAGTGCTCATCAGTCCGCTCCGTCCTCCTTCATGGCAAGATGTGAGACCTGGCCATTGAGAGTGGAAGACATGAAAAGGCTGGCTAGCTGTCTTTGATCATAGGTGCCTGCGTTCTATTTCCCGTGTAAAGTGGCATAATAAGGTGAGAAATATTGAGGTTAGGCGTAGAGTTCTCGGTAAACAGGGGAAATCAATCGACGAAGTCGTGAAGCTACAAAGACTGAGATGGTTAGGACATGTGTTACGTATGCCTAGCCATCGCCTCCCTCGACGAGCAATGTTAGCGGATATAGGGTCAGGCTGGAAAAAAGCTGGCGGCGGTCAAACCAAAACATGGCACCAGTCAATGAAATCTACAACAGTTAGTCTAAGCCACGTAGGAAGGTGTAGACTGGCTTCCTGGTGGGGTCGTCGGGACGGTAAAATTCAGTGGTTGGAAACAATTGGTGACATGGCTCAAAATCCTTCTTAATGGCTGGCGCAGATGCATCCACTCCTTGTGACTTATGATCTCCAATGAAACTGTTTTGTTCTTCCTTATTACCATTCCTTTGTCTCACACCTCTGTTCACTGTTTCTATTATGCTTTTCTTGTACTTTCTTCTCTTGCTTTGTGTGCTACATGGAGGGAGTGTGGCGACTTGAACTGGTGCACATTTGTGCAAAGTTCCATGTCGAAAACAGACAGACAGAGACAGTATGGACATTCAGTACAAATAAAGTATGAAAGCAACTACTTCACTACAACTGAGTTTCGCTCATTGTTATTCCCTTGGGCTTTGAGTGGAACGCAGGGTCTCAATTGCATATTCTCATTTAGTCTTGTTCACTGAAGTCGTCATTTATTGGCTCCATTGATTGCCCATAATTTCTCATCTTCTCCTCACACTATCTCTGCTGTGTGTTACCCTTGAACCCCCACCCAGCCCGTCTCATCCCATTCAAATTTCACTGGGGGGTGGGGTGGGGTGGGGTTGACTGACACGAAATGTCAGCCAACTATTTCCTCCACTGCCATTTTCTTAGTCATATTTGTTGTTGGACATTAGGT